AAAAATTAAAATTCTTAAAAAGATCTGAGTTTAGTGCCAGACTTTCCCAACTCCAGTTTCCTACTAACAAAGAGCCTGGGAAGCAGCAAGTAATTGGGTTCCTGTGACCTTCATGTGAGACTTTCCAGTTTCAGCTTCACAACACTCCTTTTTCCCTGCTCAAAAAAAGGGGTTTTTTTTTGTTTTGTTTTTACTGAAATACATAATTTTGAACATACAAAAATAAAACTCAAGTTCCTTCTAAAAATATTAGGCTAAACTATGGAAACCAGTACGGAGAGTCTTAGATAACTAAAAATTGATCTACTGTATAATTCAGGTATCTCATTGCTTGGAATATAGCTAAAAGGAATAAAATCTGCAAATGAGAAAATAATCTGTAATACTCTATTTACAGCTGCACAAACTACAATAACAAAAACAGGGAAATAACCCAGATGCTTATCTAAAGAGGAGTGAACAAAGGTACATCTACTCCATTAAACAGCATAAAACAGCATAAAATTCTCCCATTTGCAACAAAATGGTACTAGTTAGAGATGAGTATGCTCAGTGAAACAAACCAATCCCAAAAGGACAAATATCATATGTTCTCTCTGATATAAGGCAACTTTCATGCGAAACATAAAGTCAATAGATATATAAACAAACATGTATATTCATATATTTATCTAGAGGAACTGTATAATGGAGGCAAATATACCGAGAAGTGAAGATACATTGCAGTGTGCATTTCTACTCCCAAATAAAAGATGGACTCCCAACGAAGCTGTCAAATATATCTTGACAACAGGATGCTTGTCTTTGTACAGGTATCATAAACAGAATGATGAACTTGTGACTGTTGCTAAAGGACTATATTATAGTAATAATACAGGGGGCAAAGTGGCTGAAAGAGAAATAGGGAATGTGGAAAGGTAAAGCCCCGAGCCCATAGAATTGTATCATGAAAAATTAAAACAAAAAGTTGAGTTCAAAGAAGTAGACTAGACTGGTGGCCACCAGGGCCTAGAAGGGCTGTAGACTGGAAGTGAGGGGATTCTGCTCAAAGACAATTTTGGTTAGACAGGAGAAATAAATTCAAGAAATTTATTATACTACATAGTGGCTATAGTTAATACCAATGTGTTGTACTCTTGAAAATAAATGAAAATAGATTTTAAATGTTTTTACCATAAAAATGTAGCTTAGTTGATATGTATGCTATTTAGGTCAGCTTATAATACTTTTCTACTTCAACATAATTATGTGAATGCAGATTGTTCATGGGATTCAGCTTCAGAAATCCCAAATGCACTGATCTACCTAAGACCTGTGATTCTGCATTTTAAGTAAGCTTTCCAAGCCACTAAAGAATCATATTTCCAGAAAACTGCACCTCCACACTCTCAACTTGAAGCTTAGGCACTGTCTCACCACTATGATGTGTGCCTTCACTCCAAATCCATGGGGCTTCCTGCCCAGCTTACAGAATGACTTAGAGGGATTCAGAGTCTCAGTGAGTCAGGAAGAGTGGGGTGAGCTACAAGAGAGGATGGCCATACTTAGAACAAGACAGATGGAGTAGGATGTTGCAGAACTAGTAATGTCACATTTCAAATGATCTCAAACTTAACAACTGCATGAGAGTCCACAACTTAAATCACAATAAACAAAAAGTTGAAAAAGAAAATCTCTAACAAAGATCATTTACCCAGTGCTGTATGGGCCAACTTATGCATGAAGACATACTGGGATGTTTCTCAGGGACTGAGTACATCAACACTTGGACTCAGTTCTCTTCCTGAGTTAACAGGAAGTGGAGAAAACAGTTAGCTGTCAGAACTCAGGTGGTGATGGGAGGCATGAGAAGACAAGGAATATTAACACTCTAATTGCTATGAAAGAGTCAAAAACTATAAAGGGATACTGATGGGCCATCATGTCAGCTGTCTCTCTAACAACAGATGTAACTCTCTGGCTATTGATCTTGGATGAATTCTGAAAAAATGTCCAGCAGTTATGAGCATGACATATTTTGAAGAGCACCCTCGGAAGTGGGACACTGGTGGCCTGAAAATCCATATAGCAGCAGGTTTTACTGTTGAAAGAAGATAGCAGCTAGAGGCTGGAGGGGGTGGCACAGAATCTGGACAGAGGTAGACAAGCAGGACAGTATGAGAGAACTGCTTTGGAAGAAGACTCAATTGCACCTGAAAGTGTGAAGGTTTCCAGAGATATTCTGTACGACCAAAGGCAGGATATAAAGTATCCCATGGGTCACCTGGCTTGTTGTGCACCTAGACACAAGCGTTACAATAGGGAAAATTCCTCAAAGCTTTGCACAAGACTGAGGCCAGCAAGAATTGTGTGATTTGGGACAGGCATTTGGTGCAGTGGTTAAGTCACCACTTGGAATGCCCACAGTCCCATATCAGAGTGCTTGCCTAGAGCTCAGTCTACTCCTGTTTCTTTCCCTTTTTACAAATTTTGTTTTATTTTTTGAGGCTACTCTACCTCTATCCCAACTTCCTCCTAATCCATCCTTGGAGGCAGCATAGGCTGGCTCAAGTACTTGTCTCCTTGCTACCCTTGTGGGAGACCTGGATGAAGTTCTTGATTCCTGGCTTACCTGGCCCAGCCATGATCAATATATGCATTTATGGAATGAATCATCCCATTTCTTCCTCTGCTATGTCAGGTTCACTGAGACCCTGTTCCACACCATGTGACCCAGTAAGTCATCAAAGTAAACCACTTGCCTTGTTAGACTTGCCCAGCATTCTGCTAAATATCAGTTTTGTATTACTCTGTATGAATCTTCCTGCTTTTTTAACACAAAAGGCTTCAAAGCAATATGTAATATGATCAAACTCAGCACAAATTTCAGAATTGTTTGGCACCAAAACAAATTCATATTTTAACTCCATTTCCCACAAAGTTTGTGACACTCCCTTGTAGATCCATAATTAAAATAACAATATGCTGAGAGCTCAGACACAGGATGTCAGTAGCCCTCAGGCCTGCCCTTCCAGGCCTTGACTACAGCCATTCTCATTAAGGGTAACTGCCCTGGGTCAGAGGCAGGCACTCTCACAGAGGTACTTGAGACTGAACTACTTGAACCATTCCCTACCACCTTCCAGAGTGCATGTTAGCAAGAAGCTGGACTATGAGAAGCAGAGCCTAGACTCAAGTACAGGCACTCCACAGGCAGCTTAGCTATTACAGGAACTACAAGGGCAAGCCAGGGCCCTGGAGGATAAGAATTAGACCCACAATTGTGCATTCAGCCTTCGGGAAGTAAGTATGAGTGAAAGCGACTCACAGCAACAGGAAAGGGCAATGGGTGGGGTGAGAACCACTTCCTAAAATACCACATCTGTCTTTTTTTTAAAGAATCGCCCCTTCAAGGTTGATGTGGTGGCTTCACAAGTCCATTTTGCAATGCTGACATTGCTTATAGGTGCTGATTCTAGCCCCAACAGCTCTACTTCCGATTCAACTCCCTGCTTATGGCCTAAGAAAGCACAGGACGGCTCAAGTTGTTGGGACCCTGCACCCACACAGGAGACCACAAAGAAGCTCCCAATCCCTGGCTTGATATGCTCAGGTCTGGTGGTTGCAGCCATTTGTGGAGCAGACCGGTGGATAAAAGATCTCTTTCTGTCTCTCCTTCTCTCTAAAAATCTTCCTATCAAATTTTTTAAATTTTATTTTTAAAATGTCCCTGGTTTTGAATTAAAGATCTGTCAATTAACTTTCAATCCTTTCTTTGTCCTACAGATACCTTTTGGGGCCACATCAGTTCTACATATTCAGTTGCATAAAGACCATTGTTTTGTTCCTGAGTGTTCCTTCTTCAGGCCTTTCCACCAGTCCTTCTCTGTGCTTGCAATGGCAGGGGCTGAGACAGGTAGACATTGAAATAGATGATGACAGGTAGGTGGCAGGACTGAACTCGTTGAGCCATCTCCTGTTGCTTCCCAGAGCATACAAAAGCAGAGAGCTTGAACCAGGAGTCCAGATATTCATCCAGCAACCTCTAGGCCAAAAGCCTGTCCCAATGTACCTATTAAAACCATGGCAAAAAGGACTCAGATCAATCAACTACCCCAGCCATATGTTGGCAGTGAAAAACAGGGCAAACGGAGACTCTAAGATGGACTATGTCAATCGGTGGATTTTGTAGCGATTTCTTCGTGCTTGGAATGGCGAGACTGGCAGCGATTCATAACAGTTGAACTATCAAAACCACTTGAGCAAGACCCTCGGAACATGCCCCACATCAGGGACCTGGGGCAGGTGGGAGACTGGGTCGGGCTTCTCCCTTTACCTCCCCTTTTACCTCAGATATAGAAAAAAATGTGGAAATGATAGACTTACCCACTTTCCTGGAGCCCTTGAACCTTTGTGCCCTAATTAACTATGTAAAGATTGTCAAAAATAAAATAAAATTTTAAAAAATGGCAAAAAGAGTGTATGCTTTAATTCGTACAGAATATAAGATGGTGTATTCTTGCAATAAATGATGTGCTTTTTGCTGTCACATTAGAAATGTACTTGTTTGGCCGCTTTGCTAAACTGTTTCCTGCTTTTCCACTCTTCTTTCACTTGTAGCTGAATAAGTGTGTCTACATTGTAACATTTATAACAAACTCTTCCACTTAGGGCCTAACATTATGATAATCATTATTAACTTCCGCATTTTAGTAATAACCATTACAAAAATGCAATTACCCCTTAAAAAAAATAAAAGACGTTAGCTCTCAGACCCCAGTTCCTTCAGCTACAGAAAAGAATATGCTACCTTGCACTGCACCTGTTTTCCAGCGTTCATAGCATCACTACCGCTCGGCCTTTCTGTCCGCAAACCTCTAGGAAGCCCCGCCCCCGAACCACGACGCCCTCAGTCGGCCCCGCCCACTCCCGGCCTCAGGCGGGAAGCGCTGAAGTTGGCCGCTGATTGGCTGGCTAGGGCTCAGTTTGATTGCGTCGAGCGGACGCGCCGTTCTGTCTGGGTCCCGGCTGCCGGGCAAAGGCCTCCTGGGTGAGGGAGCCAGTGGCCCCAGCGTGTGGTGGCCTTGAGGCGCGGGACATGGAAGCACGAGCTCTCCCTAGGCTTCACCATGAGTTTCCTCATCGACTCCAGCGTCATGATTACTTCCCAGGTGCGTCACCACCCGCACCCTTCTGCCTTCCTTCCCGGAATCGCCCTCTCCCGGCCTTGGCTCTAGGCGCTGCCCGGGGGTCTGGTGCGCGTCTCCCAGCCTGGCACCCAGAGAGCGGAGAGGGTATGGGGTTGGCCGCGCTCCGTCCCTTCCTTCTGCCCTGTTGGTCTGAGGCTGCCTTGCCACTGCTGTTCAGATCCCGGCCCTGCTGCCTTCCCGGATGTGGGAGGGGTCTTCTGGCCTCGACACTACGCGGTGCCATCCTAAAGCAGCGACCCCGTAGCCGCCTTGGGCTGCTCGGCCGTGCCGCCCACCGTGGAATGGGCAGCCGAGTGGCTCAGGGCACCCGTCAGCGCGCAACACTGGGTACACATGGAGGTTCGCTGCCAATGATCCAATCCTGGATGCGGATGCAGTGTGTTTGTCGCTGGTACTTAAAGGTGTCGTTTGTGTGATAACAGTTTGTCCTCTTGATTTGCCACCCATTCTTTTCGGATCATTTTCTCACTTTCGTTTCTTCTCGATGAGCTGCTTTCATTCATTCATACGTGTCCATGAATATTTATGGACCAATATATTAAGTTCTGAGTTTACCAACATAAGATATTCTTTTAAATCTTCATCTAGTGAGCCCCTCTTCCCATATCATCCGTTGTTATTCTTTTTTCTTCCTAGTATTTATCATGTATCATTTCTGTATTTGTCTGAGAATTTGTTTGTTGAGGCCCTGTCTTGGCCACAGCTATTTACCCCTTTTTAAGTGCAAGCACCCAATAAGTAATTGTTGCCAACTCTTGGTATATTAGCCTGTGAATATTTAGTATAACTTATAGAGCCACTTGCTGTAGGAACCTGGCTCTTAAGACCTTCACATATCCTCACTTTAGACTTCCAGACTTATTTTAGCACCTATATCTGACCCTGCTAACCTGCCTCCAGATTTCCAGTTTGTTCTCTGGAATGCCCCCACCATCCCTGTACCCTTGGATGCGGTGAACTCCTGCTTAACCTTTTGATCTCAGCTTGTTCATACAAGAATGTCCTCCAGACTGTGCTAGATGTCCTTATATTGCTTCCGTAACACCCTTCACCAACACCCCTTGTACTCCACCATATAGTTTGCAATTGTTTATCCCCTCCCTAGATCATAAATTCTTACTCATCCTCCATTTCTGGGAGCAGGTACCTTTTAGGCACTAATAAATATTTAGTGAATGAGTTAAAGGATAACTTAGATGCCCCTGGAGAGGAGTCTTTTTTAAGATTTATTTTTTATTTATTTGCTGTATAGCGTTACAGAGAGAGGAGGAGAGCCAAAGATCTTTCATCTGCTAGTTCATTTCCCAAGTGACTACAATGGCCGGGACTAAGCCTGCCCAAATCCAGGGGCTCTGAGCCTCCCATGGGTTTCCCACACGGATGCAGAGGCTCAAGCACTTGGGCCATCATCCTTCTCTGCTTTTCCAGGCACATTAACATGAAGCTGAATCAAAAGAGGAGCAGCCGGATCTCAAAGCAGCACCCATAAGAGATGCCAGTGTTGCAGCTGGAGGCTTAACTTGCTACTCCAACAATATTAGCCCTGTGAGTCTTTTCCAATTAGTTAATGGCCATTAGTGGCCATCTTTTTGTTAGATTTTTTAGCTAATTTTCAATCCAGCGCTCGTTTCAAAAAAGCAACTGTTATCTGACTCGTGTTTTGAGCCCAGCACACAGTCATAAGACTTAGCAGTTCTAGAGTACATGTTAAGTCTCAAGGTTGAAGCTCTTCTCCATGTAATTCTAAAAGTATACTGTTTCAAATAGAAAGCTGTGTAACATCCATTTTATTTGCAGAGTTTGAAATCATTATTTCTGGGGCCAACATGGTAGCCTAGTAGGTAAAGTCCTCGCCTTGCATGTGCCAGGATCCCATACGGGTGCCAGTTCTTGTCCCAGCAGCCCCGCTTCCCTTCCAGCTCCCTGCCTGTGGCCTGGGAAAGCAGTCGAGGACGGCCCAAAGCCTTGGGACTCTGCACCTTCTTGGGAGAAGTCAGGAAAAAGCTCCTGACTCCAGGCTTCAGCTCAGCTCTAACCATTGCAGTCACTTGGGGAGTGAATCCGCAGATGGAAAAATCTTCTCTGTATCTCCTTCTCTCATTGAATCTGACTTTCCAATAAAAATAAATAATATAAATCTTTTTTAAAAATCTGACTTTAAATCTGTTCCCAGTGGTAATTATTAATAGTAGCCAAACCGTCCCTTAGATAGTCTAGCCGTATTTTTTCTAATCTACTTGCCCTTTTCTAGTTGATGTGTATTTATAAATCCTAAGTACATTCTCATATCATACCATCTTGTTCTTTTTTTTTTTTTTCATATAAAAGCCCATACTCAATCACCGCCTTAATTTGTCTACTGCCAGCACAGAGGCCTGACTACTGACACAGCTCTGCAGTTCACCAGTGCCATGGGTTTAACCCTTAGCCCACTGAATCACTTTTTATTTTTTAAAGATTTTTTTATTTTAAAAGCAGATTTACAGAGAGAAAATGAAGAGATAAAACGATCATACATCTGTTATTTTACTCCCCAAATGGCCAAAAGGGCTATAGCTGAATCGATCTGAAGCCGGGAACCTGGAGTTTCTTCCGGGTCTCCTACACAGGTCAGGGCCCAAGGCTTTGGGCCATCCTCTGCTGTCCTCCCTGGCCACATCATCAGTGAGCTGGATCGGAAGTGGGGCAGCCCTGATGTGAACCGACACCCATGTGGGATACCAGCACCTACTGTGCTACAACACCAGCCCTTTGAACCTGTTCCTTATACCACTCCTTTCATGGTTTCTTTGCGTCGCCATCACTCTCCTCAGATTCCCTTTTTGCAAGCTCACCTCCCTGACTGTTACCAAAAGCTCCTTCTAGACTGATTTGTGCTTCTTACATCCACTGCCATACCTTCCAGTCATCTCCAACCTGTTTTCTGCTTCCAACTTGCGTCCTCTTTTGAACATTTTTAAATCCTTGTTTTACTCATTGATTCACTTAATACTGTATTTCCATACTCTGAGGACACCATGTTGGTGCCTCTGACCATTCCTTCTTGGACTTCTTCCTGGATTCTTCCCATTCCCATCCTCCAGGGCTTGCTTCTTATTAGTACATTATTCTTTATTGTATACTCTGTTCCTGGGTGATCTCTCACACTTTGATGATTTCAATTCACAGGTAACTCTCGGCCCTGCCTTCATAATCTCTTATTCAAGCACTTGAATAACTGCTCAACATGCCTAACTGGGTGCCCCTAGCATTTCTAAAACGGAAGTCTCTTGGACAGCACTATGGTGTAGCAAAGTAAGCCTGTGGTGCCAACGTCCCATTTAGGTGCCAATTTAAGTCCCAACTGTTCCGCTTCTAGTCCAGCTCCCTGCTAATGTGCCTGGAAAAGCAACAGAAGATGGCCCAACCATTTTGTCTCCTGCACTTACATGGGAGACCTGGAAGAAGTTTCTGGCACCTGGCTTTGGATTGGCTCAGCTCTGACCATTATTTTCATTTGGAGAATGAACCAGATGGGAGCTCATTCGCGCTGTCTCTCTTTCTCTGACTCTCAAACTCTACCTTTCCAATAAATCTTTAAATAAAATTCCCCATTCTTTGTCCACATACCAAACCTTCTCCTTCAGTATTCATTATGTAAGATTAATTGGCATCTTTCTTCATCTTGTATTCCAAACCTGTCATCCTTGGCACCTTGCTCATTTACTTTCTTTCTTTTTCTTTCTTTCTTTCTTTCTTTCTTTCTTTTTTATTACAGTGTATAGTTTTTATTGGCACTTAAAATGCGCACATCTTTAATATTCTCGGGGTTTAGACCTGCCACCAGGCCCCAAGGTAACCGAGGGCGAGGCAATGGTGTTCTTTGGCCATAAGAAGCGCCAGAGACAGACTGGTAAGGAGTGTCCTGCCCATTTACTTTCTAATAAATACTTTCTAAATAATGTATCTCAAATCTGTTGCTTCCTCTCTATCACCTGTGTCTTAATTTAAGCCCATAGTTTCTCTTCTTGACTTTTATAACAACTCCCTGTGTTTGTCGTCCTGCTGCGATGTATCCTTCCACATAGCCCAACAGAGGTTTCAGTAAGGTCTGAACATGTCGTCTTCCTGTTGCATGACACAAATCACAGACTATAATCAAAACTCAGGTGGCAATCAGGGCTCTCAGTGAGCAGTATTTTTCTTCCCCTCCCCCCTTTTTTATTGATTACATTGCATTATGTGACACAGTTTTATAGGCACTGGGATTTCCCCCACCCCTTCTCAATCCCCTCCGCCGCCCCCCCCCCCCCCCCGGTGGATTCCTCCACCTTGTTGCATTTCCACAGATCAAATTCAGTTGAGATTCTTTCATTGCAAGCATCTACCAGGTATAAAGTCCAGCGTCTAATTGTCCAGATACATTCAATGGTTTCTTGGAGAGACCATCTCTGGTCTGAAGGTAGAGCCGACAGAGTATTTCCCCAATCAATTAAAAGCCCCAACATTACATCGGTAACATTTTATAACGCTATGGAATTAGTTGACATGGTATTGAGTAGTCGATATGTTAAAAGAGAGAGAGAAAAAAAGATTGCAAGTTCTGAACCACATCCTGTGACTTCTACATTGACATTTCACGTATTAGTTTATATATAACTGGTTTCTATACACCTTAAAATGGCTATAGATTACTATTCAGCTGTCTTGTGTCTATTTTCATTATAGTATTTAGCAGTTTATAGCGTTGAAGCATGATTTTGCTGAACCTGGCTGTTTTACGGGTAGTCTAACTCTGTAGCTCTAACAAGACATATGTCAACAGTTTAGGTGAACAGTTCTAGGAGGGGTGTGCAGAGAAATCTTCAGTACCCTAGTGAGGAGTAACTAATCTTTATGTCCCACCCAGTGAGTTATAAGTGCATCCCCGCTGACCGTTTCCTGTCTGTTTCTAAGCTTTCCTTGTTGTTCTCTGTCATCTATTCTAGTTTGTTTGTTTGTTTGTTTTGAGGGTTTTCTGGAGTGATCCTGATGGTCATTGCCAGTGAGGTTGGGGACCCAGAGTCAGAACCAGGCAAGGACCAGAGAAAGCTCCTCTCCCTAGTCCTGAAGGAAGCTTACTCTTCTTTTGTTTCTGCAGACCGCTCAGTGCTCCTGGTTGTCGTTCCGATGACCTTGCAGGATTTGGGCTTCTTCCATCCCATGTGGTAGATTCAAGTGTGGGTGGGTGACCTCAGAGTTCTTGGCCTCCAAAAGCACTCCAATTTCCCGTGGTCTCTAGCAGTTGGGATGTAGTCCTTGGTGCTCGTACTGATAGTCCTTGGTGGGGATCTGGGAGTCTTCAGGGTTGGGATACAAGCCTCCTCCTGTCCACCTGCTCCACTGTGGGCGCCCCCTCCCCTCCCTGCCCTCCCTGCCCTCCCCCCCCCCCCCCCCCCCGTGAGCAGTATTTTTCTCTCCTTTCCAGCTGCATTTTGAAATATTTGCTTCTTTAAACAACGAGATTGTGTGTTGTTCCCAGCAGGTACTATGCCATTTCTTACATCTGTGCCTTTACTCATGCTCTTTGCTGCCGAAAACCATTGTACTCCCTCTTTTATTTGCCTAATTTTTATTTAAATGGAGTTTTTAATATTTTAGGGACAGTGGAAATCTCTAAATATGTAATTAGTACCTTAGAACTTATCTTGAGAAATTTGCATAATCCTGGGGGCTGGCACCATGGCATAGTGGGCTTGGTTTCTGCCTGTGGCACCAGCATCCCATGTGGGCACTATTTCATGTTCTGGCTGCTCTGCTTCCTGGCTAGCTATCTGCTTATGTGGTCTTGGAAAGCAGTGGACGATGACTCAAGTCCCTGGGCCCCTGACCTACATGGGAGACTCAGAAGAGGCTCCTGGCTTCGGAGCAATCCAGCTCTGGCTGTTGCAGCCATTTGGAAAATGAACCAATGAATGGAAGATCCATCTCTCCTTCTGTGTGTAATTCTGCCTTTCAAGTAAAAATAAAGTAAAATAAATCTTTTTTGAAAATGTACATAATCTCAACTTTTAGCCACAATTCAGGTTTATAATCCCAAATTAAAACTTCTAGAAGCAGACATCTGGCACAGTGGTGCAGTCACTGCCTGGAAGTCCTGCATCCCATGTGTGAGCACCGTGGTTTGAGTATGCTGTTCCACTTCTAGTCCAGTTTTCTGCTGATGTTCCAGTTCAGTTCTCAGCTCCTGGTTTGGGCCTGGCCCAGCCCTGACTATTGAGCAGAGTGAACTATTTGCAGAGTGAACTGGCACATCTCCCTCCCTCCATCTGTCTTCTCTCTCCCTTTCAAATAAAAAACGAAAATAAATAACTTTTAAAAAATTCTTCTGCTCAGGTGTTCTGTCCTAGAAAATCTGTACAAACCCAGTATGACTTGGCTTCTTTAGGGTCCACTTCCTCATATGAGCTCCTTGAAGGTGGTGACTATATCCCTCGTCTGCTTCCCCAGCATCTAACACAGCACACACAAGTTAATACAGATAATTTGAGGCTGAATGTTACTGAAAACCTATCCATTTTTTGCTTTTGAGTGTTTAAGCAATTCTACAAACAGTTATGGAGAGCGTGCTAGGTACCAGGCATTGTCCTGTGTACTGAGGATAGGATACAAAAATTTGCAGTAGAACTTACAATTCATTGCCTTAAAATTTTTAATTAGAAATCACAAAAGTGTGTTTTTACGTTGACAAGGGAAGTACAGGATGCAGTAGGATTATATATTTAAAAAACAAGTTATATCATTTGGAAAGAGCAAAGGGAGTTACGCATAAGTTGGAACTTGTGGGGTGAGTAGGAGAGAGCTGGAGCAAAGTTCTGTCAGAGGACAGCATCCACAGAGGCTTCGGTCTCAAGGCATGGGTGCTGGATAACCAAGGCCCCAGGTGGCTAACAGGGTGTTAGATAGACCTGGGAGGCACAGGCCAGGGGCTGGAGTAGCTCGTGCTAAACAGTGCTCAGAAATTAACTCTTGTTCCCAGAATCAGTAGAAAAGCATGAAAGGGTTGATTCATAGTTAAATTTCCCATCCAGTAGAGGAAGAATAGAGGAGTTATGTCAGCATGTATGTGTGTGTATATAGTTAGAAGGTTCTATTTACTAGTGGAAAAACAAACCAGCTTTGTCAGCTGTCATGTGACTGCTGTCTGTGATGCCAGTTTGAAACAGAACTGACAAAAGTGGATCCTGCAGCCTCTTGGCTTTCCACTGAGATGGAAAACACTTTACAGAATGGTAAAGGAGCTGAAAAATCTTGCTGAAGGAAATACATCATCAAAAATATTAATCTTTCTACCATTTCCTGATTTTTAAAATTTTTTTCCATTAAAAAATTTTTAAAACTTGCACATAAAGATCACTTATAAGAAACAAGTTTCATTAACTCATTTTTTACCTGCTAATTTCTCTGACTCACAGTGATTATTACAGAGCTATGGAAAAATATGTATTTCCACTTTTGTATAACTTAGAAGCACATCCAATAGCAGGGAGAGTTTCAAAAATCTAAGAGCCTTTTAAACATCTATTCTCAATGTTACAAGCTTTAATAAGTAGTTATGAATACACCTGCTTTTTAATCTCTGAAATTAACAGGAAATAAATATCATAACTTTTTAATCAGGCTTTTATCAAGCATTTCTCAAAAGAAGCTGTATATTGACATTCTATCTAATTTCTCCTCCAGATACTTTTTTTTGGATTTGGGTGGCTTTTCTTCATGCGCCAATTGTTTAAGGACTATGAGGTAAGAAAAAGTTGTTGTTACATTATGTTTATACTTTATGAATTTAAGTTAACTATAAAACAAAATGCCTCCGGTGAAAGTTATGTTCAATGCCAAAATAGGAAGTTTTTTCAAATGAGTACTAGGGAGCCATAACATTGAAGGGTGTTTGATTTTGTTGATTTCGGAGAGAAAAAAAAAGCTAGTCACATGTAGCCCAAAAGTTGGTGTCATGGCTTACTCTTAGCTGAATATACACCAAATAGGAGTCAGTTATTCTTTGGTAAAGAATTTAACATATGTCTCATCAGTGTTTCATTTTCTGTCTAGTCCTGAATTACCAATCCTGTATTCTAAATTTATACCAAAATTCCAAGGCTGTCTGGATCTGCCATTGAGCTTTGACTTTTCCACCTTAGGCATAAGCGTTTGGCTTAGCTGTTAACATGCCAAGTCCCACCTGGGAGTGCTTGGGTTCAAGTTCTGGCTCCTAGTTCCAGATGCCTGCCAGTGTAGACCCTGGGAGGTAATCTCCATCACTCAAGAGGTTAAAGTGCTAATTCAGTAATAGAATAATAGAATTAGTAATTATGTGCTACCTTTGGATAATTTCTAAGATGTTCTCCATTAACCTTCTCAGGAAGTTTGGATTATAGTCTGAAAGAGCCCAGGACTCTAAAGATCCAGATCTACTCTGTACTTTAAGGCTCCCAAGAAAGGTTCCTGAATTAATCCAGAAACTGTAGAGTTGAAGAACTCCTTTTAGCATTAACTATAATTGGCAAACTTACCTTTTTTTTTTCTTTTTATCAATGTAGGTCAGACATTCCTCCCCCACCACCTTTTTTTTTTTGAAAGGCAGATTACAGAGAGAAGGAAAGAGAGAAAGGGTGTTCAGATCACTGGTTCACTCCCCAAATGGCTACAGTGGCTGGAGCTGAGCTGACCCGAGCCTGAGAGCCAGGAACCGTTTCCAGGTCCCCCATGTGAGTGCAAGGGCCTAAGGACTCAGGCCAATCTCCCCTTTTCCTGCAATCCACAAGCAGGGAGCTGAATTGGAAGTTGAACATTTGAGATACTAACTGGCACCCATTTGGGATGCTGGCACCACATTGTGGAGTATTAACCTGTTCAACCATGGCTCTGGCCCTCATGTATATCAGGAATTCTTAGTGCTACTTTTAACCCTGTCATTTTATCTTCTTGTACTTTAAATTCTCCATCCATAAGATGATGCTGATAATCACCATAACTTAAAAGTGCTACCACTTTTATGTGTTTCTTTAGTTCTAGGCAGGTTGTAGCTGTAGTCCTGTTTGCAATGCTGTGAGAATTTCTTAATTTTTGAAGAGTCAGGACTGTAGTGTGGCTGAATTAGCACTGGCATTCCATACAGATGCCTGTTCAAGTCCAGGCCACTCCACTTGCAATCTAGCTCCCTGCGAATGTGCCTGGGAAAGCATTAGAAGATGGCTCAAGTCTGAAGGCCCTGCACAAATGCGGGAGATGCAGAAAAAACTCCTGGCTCTTAGTTTCAGACTGGTTTCACCCTAACCATTGTGGTCATCTGGAATGATGAACCAGGGGATAGAAGACTTGTCTCTGCATCTCCCTCTCTAACTTTGCCTTTCAAGTAAATTAATAAAGCTGTAAATTTTTTTAAAAAAAGAAGTTTCTGACTTGTAATCAGAAAGAGTTTATTGCTTCAGTATTTCCAACAAGCAAGTAACTTCTGGACTGCATTTGTCTTTAACAGGTGCGCCAGTATGTTGTACAGGTGATCTTCTCTGTGACTTTTGCGTTTTCCTGCACCATGTTTGAGCTCATCATCTTTGAAATCTTGGGAGTATTGAATAGCAGGTGAGTGAGACTCCTGAGTAACTCAACTGAAATTCTGTGCTACTTTATGATTAAAAAAAAAATTACTTGGATCTCATAGCTGAGAAATATTCCACTGTGTGACATTTTAGTATTAATAAATAACTGCAATGAGCACAATAAACATGGCTTCCACCACCGGGTTATCATTTATTTATTTATTTATTTTTTAAAGATTTAGTTTTATTATTTTTTTAGTGGAAAGGCAGATATACAGAGAGGAGAGACAGAGAGGAAGATCTTCCATCCCATGATTCACTCCCCAAGTGAGCGCAACGGCCAATACTATGCCGATCCGAAGCCAGGAGCCTCTTCCGGGTCTCCCACGTGGGTGTAGGTTCCCAAAGCTTTGGGCCGTCCTCGACTGCTTTCCCGGGCCACAGGCAGGGAGCTGGAAGGGAAGCGGGGCTGCCGGGATAGAACCGGCGCCCATATGGGATCCCGGGCGTGCAAGGCGAGGACCCTAACCACTTGCGCCACCGCGCTGAGCCCTATCATTTATTTTTAAATGCTTACAAATAGGGATTATCTAAAAGAAATGCTTCACTGACTCTTCTGCGTACTAATTTGCTTAGGGGCTGGCTTTAGAATGCCCACACCCATGTCAGTATGCCTGAATTTGAGTTCCAATTTTTCAAGTGCTTGGGTCTGCCATCTGTGCTTGAGACCAGCTGGAGATCCTGGCTGCCACGGGTATATGGAGAGTGAACCAGAAGATGGAAGAGCCATCTTTCTATGTATCTCTCTCTCTCTCTCTCTCTCTCTCTCTCTCTCTCTCTCTCTTTCTCTCTCTCTCTGGCTGTGCCGTTCAAATAAATAAAAATAAGTAATTATTTTAAAGTAGGATTATGATGTTTGAGGAGAAAAATTACCTTTACCTCTGAAGAACTCAGGGAGTTGTGAGAGACTGTCCCAGTTTTTGCTCTTCCATGGAGTGTTCTCTTGACTAAAGCCCTGGAATGTGGCCCTTCACACAGCCCTGCTGATTGGCTGTCTCTGCCTGAGAAGAGTAGAATTCCTCCATGAAGCCTGAGCTCCACTCCTTTCTTGACTTTTGGTTTTACAAGCATAATTAAATTTGATTAAACTGAGATTATTTTTTAAAACTTTTATTAAGATTTATTTATTTGTATTGGAAAGTCAGATTTTTATAGAATGAAGAAGAACAGAAAGATTTGCCATCTGCTGGTTCACTCCCCAAGTAGCCAGAGCAGCCAAAGCTCAGCCAATCCGAAGCCAGGAGCCAGGAACTGCTTCCAGGTCTCCCACACGGGTGCAGGGTCCCACAAGCTTTGGGCCATCTTCTACTGCTTTCCCAGGACACTAGCAGGGACTGGAAGGCAGTGGAGCAACCAGGACACAAATTGGCACCCATATGTGATCCTGGTGCATGCGAGGATTTTAGCCACTAGGCTACAGCACCAGGCCCCAAAACATTTTCTTAAAAATGACACATTACTCTTTCCCAAATGGTGGACTTGTTCATTAAACATTTACCCAAGATGTGTGTTGCCTATAAAACCGCAAGCTTGAGTGTTTTCTTTTTCTTTTCTTTTCTTTTTTTTAAGATTTATTTATCTTTATTTGAAAGGCAGATTTTGCAGAGGAAAGGAGAAACAAAAACTTCTTCCATCTACTGATTTACTCCCCAGATGGCTGCAGTGGCTGAAACTGAGTCAGTACAAAGCTAGATGCCTGAACCTTCTCCCTGGTGTCCCATGTGGGTGCAGGGGCCCAAGGTCTTGGGCTGTCTTCCGCTGCTTTGCCAGGCCCATCAGCACAGAGCTGAATCAAAAATGAAGCAACCAGAAATCGAACTGATGCCATACAGAATGCTAGCTCTGCAGTGGAGGCTTAACCTTACATGCCACAGTGCTGGCCCCATGCTTAAGTATTCTTTAAGCCAGCACTTGTATTTGGAATTCATTAGCTATGCTATGGCAACATTTGTTGTACTTTTATCACCAAATGAAAAAAAATTATGTGATCATAAAGTGACCTTGCACAGTGTGACCTACAGTCGGTTAAGCTGGATAGACCTTTGACACGTGAGACTTGGGAGATGTACTGCAAGTGCCAGTATCCCGTCTGGGCACCAGTTCTTGTCCCGGACGTTCTCTGGTAATGACTTGGGATACCAGCAGGGTGGCCCAGGGCCTTGACCCCTGCAGCCACTTGGGAAACCAAAAAGAAGCTCCTGGCTGGTGACCATTGCGGCCACAGGGAGTGAGCCATCTGATGGAAGATTTTTCCCTCTTTGTCTCCTCTCTGTAAATCTGCCTTTTCAAATAAAAATTTTTTAAAACCTTTAAAAAATTATTAAGAGATTTACTTTTAAATCCTTTTTTTGCCAGAATCAAAGTTGAAAAATCATAGCTTTTTAAAAAGCCTTATAGTAGACAGTTAATCACGAAATATGGGAAGTTGGGGAAAGAAAATCATAATCTCTTTTTTAAAGTTTCTTTGTTTTTTTTTTTCTTTCCCTTTCCTTTTTTCTGTCTGTCTTTCCTTTGGCCAAGATTTAAAATCATTGCTGAGCTATGGGATGCTGCCATGACAAGCGGCTGATCAACCCACTGTGCCACAGTGCTGGCCCTGGTTGGAATCTCTTGATAGATCACTTAATAATGTAATTTTTATACTTTGATATTCAATAATTCAAACCTCGGGGAGGGCATGATGTGCTGTGAATTAAACCCTGCTTGCCATGGCGGCATCTCCTAGTCGAGTGTCCAGGATTGACTCACACTTTCCCTTCTGACCCAGCTCTCTGCTAATGACCCAGGGAGCAGCTCAGTACTTGGGTTTTTGCCAGCTAACGTGGGAGACACAGGTGGGGTTCCCGACTCCTGGCTTCCGCCTAGCACAGCTCTCCCTTTTGTGGGACAATCTCTTTCTCTTCTTCAGTCTCCCCTCCACTCTGCCTTTCACATAAATTATTTCTTTAAGATTTTGTTGTTGTTGTTGTTGAAAAGGTAGATTTATAGAGACAGACAAAAATTAAGAAAAATTTTCCACCTGCTGCTTCACTTCCCAGATGTCCACAATGGCTGAAGCTGAGTTGATCTGAAGCAAGGCGCTTCTTCCGGGTCTCCCATGTGGGTGCAGGGGCCCATGGATATGAATCATCCTCAGCTGCCCTCCCAGGCCATAAAGCAGGGAGCTGGATGGAAAGTGCAACAGCTGGGACATGAACTAGCATCCGCAAGGGATATTAGCACTTGCAGCTAGAGGCTTAGTCAATTGAGCCATCATGCCAGTCTGTGAAAATCATTGAATTGTACACTTTTAAACAGGTGAACTATAATCTATAAAACTTACAAAAAGCACAAATGCTAAAAATTTTTAAAATGGGCTTTATAAACTGTAGTAAAATGATCATGCAAATAAAATGCTTAATTCTATAGCAAGCATCTTTTACTATTAACATTTAGTTTTGTTTATTTCTTGCATTGAGTGAAGGCCAGTCTGCCAGTAATGAAATATGATAAATGTAATAATATTTGTCATTTAGACATAGTGACTGTGAATATGGCTAGAGCATTAACATTCTTATTTTGATTAGTGAAATTGTTAGGCTAAAATGGTTTGATAGATGTATAAAACACTGTTTTGAAAAAAATCTATTTTTTAACCTCTATAGGTGAGTAGCTAGCCTAGTTGGGAGCAGTTGAGTTCAAGGCGCAGGGAGTCGTCTGGAAGACTGACGTGAAGGGAAGTCGCTGTTCTTTCCCTCCACCATTCCCTGCTCTGGCAGTGATATTTTTTGACTTCTGTTTCAGCTCCCGGTATTTTCACTGGAAAATGAACCTGTGTGTAATCCTGCTGATCCTGGTTTTCATGGTGCCTTTTTACATTGGCTATTTTATCGTGAGCAACATCCGACTATGTGAGTTAATACTACATGAGTTACCTCTTGCCACATAGATGGAGATGATTTATTCTTAGAGATGGAGAGCGTGAATACCTTTGTTTCTATGGAACTTTCCATAGCTAATGCTGCTTGAAACTACCATGCAATATTTTAGAAAGGTCATAAACAGGAAGGTGATAATTTGATTATTTACCCTACCACAGCTTTAATTTTCACCATAGCCTGTCTTAGCTAAATCCATGTCTTAATGTCAACCAAATTTCTCCTATGGACGTTAAAGCTGCTTTCAATGAAGACTGTATTGTTCTGTCTCTTATTTGCCAGGTAGACTGGGTGGCCAAATGTATATGATATGCATTTGTATTTTTCAGTAGAGCAAGGTCTTTTAATATAGGTCTGTTTTCCCTGATGCTCTTGTCTCCCCTGTCACAGTGTATAAACAGAGACTGCTGTTTTCCTGTCTCCTGTGGTTGACCTTTATGTATTTCTTCTGGAAATTAGGAGATCCATTTCCCATTCTCAGCCCGAAGCACGGTGAGTTTTATGTTGGGGGCAGGAGGAAGTGGGCACAGAGGTTGATTGATTCTCTATTTTTTAAGATTTTTTAATTGGAAAGGAAAATATACAGAGAGGGGGAGAGACAGAGAGGAAGATCTTCCATCTGATGATTCACTCCCCTAGTGGCGGCAATGGTTGGAGCTGAGCCAAGTATTCCAGAAAAAAAAAAATCTGATTTTGAACCAAATTTTCTGTTTCACCCTAAGAGGTATCAAATATTGGCTTGGGAACAGGCTTCTTTCATTCCAGAGTAGGAAATTTGGACCTTATTTTAGTGAATGAACCCTAAGGGTTTAAGTACAGAGAAAGGGGTCCTCAACTTAAATCTCTTAATATTGTACACAGAATTATGAGACTATATTTCTATGTTTACTTAGAGGTGAGCTTTCAGCAAGCTTTTTTTTTTTTTAAGATTTATTTATTTTTATTAGAAAGGCATGTATATAGAGAGGAGGAGAGACAGAGAGAAAGATCTTCCGTCCGATGATTCACTCCCCAAGTGACCACAATGGCTGGAGCTGAGCCAATTCGAAGCCAGGAACCTCTTCCAGGTCTCCCACGCGGGTGCAGGATCCCAAGGCTTTGGACTGTCCTCGACTGCCTTCCCAGGCCACAAGCAGGGGCTGCCAGGATTAGAACCAGCATCCATATGTGATCCTGGCGCATGCAAGGCCAGGACTTTAACCACTACGCTATCGCGCCGGGCCTCAGCAAGGTTTTTATCAGCTTCCCAGGAGGTTCTGTGACCACTGCTTATGTGATGATAAAAATTCTCTTTCAGGAGTATGTGTGCTTTACGAAAAAAAGATAACATTAAACTTTTATAATTAGTGGATAAAGAAAAGCTTTTTAGGAATTGGTGTTTCCTCTCAAAAAAAAGTTCATTTTCAATGCAAGAAGTTAGGCAGAGCCTGAATCTCCGTGCGGCCAGCCCGTTGGCAGAGGGACTGGAAAATATCTGCTATACCTTCATCCATCCTCCTTTCTAAATTGTATGCAAATATTCTTAAAAGGATTCTGACCTAGAAAATTAGGAAGATATTTTCAATTCTGGCCTTTCCTTTATACTTCAATAAATACACATTTCAGCTATGCCTGAATGCTCAGGTGTCTTAAGTTATTTGGTCCCCTAGGAGAAATGAGCAAGAAGAAAGCTTCTGCAATAGCTGAGCTACTGCAATAGCCAGATGTAAACTGCTTTTTTGCTAGGATGTTCCCTGCAATCAGTATGGTTTATTAATAACTGAAGACCTCAATAACTATAAAATCTCATCCTTACTTATACTGAAAAAAAAAAACAGATAATTCCTGGTGCAATGCCTGAGTCTCAGGAGGTTAGACATTCTTTTTTATTATTTTTATTATTAAATAGCTTTTTAAAGATTTATTTATTATTTTTACTAGAAAGTCAGAAATACAGAGAAGAGAGACAGAGAGAAAGCTCTTCTGTCCACTGGTTTACTTCCCAAGTGGCCGCAACAGTCGTTGCTAAGCTGATCTGGAGCCAGAAGCTTCTAGTCTCCCGTGTGGGTGCAGGGTCCCTAAGCAATCCTAAGACTGCTCCCAAGCCACGAGCAGGGAACTGGATGAGAAGTGGAGCAGCCGGGATATGAACCAGCACCCATTTAGGATGGGAGCATGCAAGGCAAGGACTAGCAACTAGGCTACCACGCCGCACCCAAGCTAGAAGACATTCTATAGGAGACTACAAAGACGACATAGAGGCCTAGAAGGAGTCTGGATGATGGCAGTGGGGAAATGGCCTTCTGCTGGTTGCCTGATTTATCAGCTTTCCATTTATTAGTTGGTGAGCAGGTAGGAATATGACCAAATCTTAAAGATTTATTTATTTTTATTGGAAAGGCGGATATACAGAGAGGAGGAGAAACAGAGAGGATGTTCTTCTGTCTGATGACTCACTCCCCAATTGGCCGCTACTACTGGACCTGAGCCAATCCGGAACCAGGAGCTCTTCCGGGTCTCCCAAGTGGGTTCAGGTTCCCAAGGCTTTGGGCCGTCCTCCACTGCTTTCCCAGGCCACAGGCAGGGAGCTGGATGGGAACAGGGGCCACTGGGATTAGAACTGGCACCCATATGGGAATCCTGGGAGTGCAAGGCGAGGACATTAACCACTACGCTATCACGCTGGGCCAAAATATGACCAAATCGTAACTGAAATGCTTGGAAGGCATGGCACAATAGTGTAGCCAAGCAGCTAAAGTCTCCGCCTTGAACGCACCAGAATCCCATATGGGCACTGGCTTAAATCCTGGTGGCCCTGCTTCCCATCTTGCTCCCTGCTTGTAGCTTGGGAAAGAAGTAAAGGAAGGCCCAAAGCCTTGGGATTCTGTACCCATGTGGGAGACCCGGAAGAAGCTCTTGGTTCCTGGCTTCAGATTGGCTCAGCTCCAGCCATTGCGGCCACTTGAGGAGTGAACCTTGGATGGAAGATCTTCCTCTCTGTATATCTGCCTTTCCAATAAAAATAAAATAAATCTTAAAAAAAAAAAAAAAGAAAGAAATGCTTGGAGTAGGTAGACAGTATCTTGGAAAAACACATTTAATGAAAGAGCACCAAGTTAAAAGAGTAAAAGTAGAAAGGATTGTGTTTTTCTGTTTCTGTTTTTGTTTTTTCCAGCACACTCTACAATAGGGACTTCAAATTTTTGCAAAAGATTGGATTAAAGACAAGATTATTTTGGCGCAGAAAATTTTATGGTTCACAGTTTTTTCTTAATATGTATTTTTAAGAACTTTTTAAAGACCTCTATATTAATCCATTTTCTCTTTTTTTATTGAATAATACTATAGACACATAATCAACAAGTATTTGTTGTACTCCCTTTGTATAAGGAAAACAAAGATGAATGAGAAATAATTCCTTCCTGTAAAGAGGATGCAAGTTCAAAAGAGAAATAGAAAGTAAAATCAGCAGAAGCTAGATGAGGATTTCCTCATGCCACAGGTGCTTATGAGTACCTGGTTGCTAGAGACGAACTAAGAACAAAACAAACTTGGTTTCTGCACTGCTAAAACTCTTTTTGTGAGTGGGACTAAACAATACAGAGATAAATATTATAAACAAGTAATTTCCATTTAGTAATTGTCATCAAGAAGTGAATGGGTTACTTTCATAGAGTCTACTACAGAGAAGATATCAAATAGAGTGTAATCGGTTAAAATTAAAACCTTTTTGGGGAAATTATAAATATCACTTTTTTTTACAAGATTTGGTTTTTTATTTGAAAAGCTATCAAAATGAAGAGAACGAAAGCGAGAGTTACCATCCACCAATTCACTCCCCAAATGGTTGTAATGGAGAGCTGAGCTTGTCCAAAACTGGGAGCTAGGAGTTTTTTTCTGGGTCTCTCACCTGAGTGCAGGGGCCCGAGGACTTGGGCCATCCTCCACTGCTTTCTCAGGCCATCTACCAGAAAATGGATCAAAGGTGGAGAAGCCAGAATTTAAACGGGCACTACAGGCAGAGAGGCTTAGCCATGGCACTGGCCTCAATTATCACTTTTTTTTTTCCAAAATTTGTTTTTGTTGGAAAGAGTTACAGAGAGGAAAGGCAGAAAGAGATACTCCAGCAACTGGTTCACTCCCCTAATGGCCAAATGGCCAGAGCTGGGCCATACCAAAATAAAGAGCCAGGATCTTCTTCCAAATGTTCTACATGGGTACAGGAATCCAAGGACTTGGGCCATCCTCCACTGCTTTCCTGGCCATTAACATGGAACTGGGTCAGAAGTAGAGCCACCTGGACTAGAACCGGCACCCATATGGGATGCTGGCACCACAGGCAGAAGCTTAGCATGCTATGCCATGTCACCATTCCCCCTGGGGCCCCTCCCCAAAATATTTTAAGTGTATGTCACTCCCTTTGAGTACATGTGCTTTTTTTCTGTAGCATGTAGAGGGAATTGAATAGGACCAATAACACTAATACAGATGTCTTAGCTTTGCTTACCATGTTGTTCTAAGAGAGATGTTTTGCGAATGTCACGCACACACATATATACATATCTACTAGAGTGAAGATAGATTTTGTCTCTTATATTTTCTAATAAAGGCACTGACTAAAAGAGATGAACAAAGGTGGGCGAAATAGATTAGCCAGTCCTGAGAGAGGTAGAGTGAGATGTCTACCAGGAGCTAGGTAAGATTTTATTCAATACTGCATGAGCTCTGTTGATGACAATAGGCCATAAATGTATACTACCCCAATACCAGGATGCATTTTAGGCAACTTAGGTCTGGGCAGAAGGTTGGGTTTTGTAGGATTAGAGCTTTGGCAGGAAGAGGGTAGGTGGGAGAAATATGAGCAAGCAAGCAAGCTTGGCCCCCAACTAGGTGATGGAGCAGGGTAGCACAGGACTACAGGCCAGGAGGGCGCTGAGCTCTACAACCAGTGTGATGGAAATAGAAGAACAAGGGAGCTGGAAGGACAGGAGCAGAGGGCAGGGACCACAAGTGAAATGTTGGAGTTTGTAGTTTCAAAGCTGATAGAATTCACGAATGGCAGCACAATGCCTTTGGGCCTTGGGAGTAAATGACTGATATGAGTTCTTTCCTGGAATAGGGAGTGAAGACAAACTAAATTAATTTTTTCCCCCTCTGGCACCAAACTTCCCGAGTTGTTCTTCAGTATTGTTTTATCTTATTTATTCCAAATACTTCCCTCAGCAGCATGTATTATTCTGGTTCCTCAGTGATTTTTAGCCTTCTCAAATGATAAGAAAGATCTGAAAATCCGAAGCCAACTGATAATCTGCCCTTCTCTGCCTTTGAATTGATCCTTTTCTACAAATTTAGCCTGTTTATTAGATGCATGATGTGTTTATTGGGTGAACAAGGGATAAGATATAACCTAAAAAGTATGACGAAGGGGAAAATCCATGTGTCAAAGGTCAGCATCACAGTGTCACCTACTAGCCGTGTGCTTTCCCAGCATGCTTCACTTTTTTTTGCCAAAATTTTTACTAAAAATATTTTACTGTGTTATTTACAACTATTATTACTTTTTTAAAGTTTTTACCATTATTATGCAATAAAAGGGTTACTCTAAGGCCTAAGGGATAAGAGGATAATTAGTAGACATTTATTTATTATAGATAGGCTTCCAAATTAATAACTTACTGTTGGTGTGGGAGGGTTAAGGCATCTGTGCTGGTGGATGTGTTCAGTGTTTTCCTTTGCCACACAGATGAGAGCCTTTTTACCTGTGTTACCTGCATGAATGTGCTTTCATGTTTTTAGGGATCTTATCCATAGAACAGCTCATCAGCCGGGTTGGTGTGATCGGGGTGACTTTCATGGCCCTACTTTCTGGATTTGGTGCTGTCAACTGCCCATATACTTACATGTCTTACTTCCTCAGGTAATGAACACTTTGTTGCTTTTTCTTTTTCCCCCGTTCCTTTTTCCCTTCTTTCTTTAAATTGGAAAGGCAGATTTCACAGAGGGAAGGAGAGTCAAAAGGATCCTCCATCCACTGGTTCATTCCCCAAATGGCCACAGCAGCCAATAGCTTCTTCTGCGTCTCTCTCACGGGTACAGGGTCCCAAGGCTTTGGACCATTCTCTGCTGCTTTCCCAGGCCACAAGCAGGAAGGCTGGATGGGAAAGTGGAGCAGCCAAGACACAAACCAGCGCTCTTATCTTGCAAGGGGAGGAGTTAGCCGTTGAGCCATCATGCTGGGCCCTCCCATTCTTCTTGAATATATGTCATAACATATTTAATACTTACATATTATTCTTCCTCCTTTCCTGCAGATATTCTCTTAGGATTTTAAGTGTCTTATCTGTCTTATAATGTATATTGCTTCCCCTCATTTGCCTTTTTTTTTTTTTTTAAGAGAGAGCTTAGCAGTCCATCTGTTTATTCAACCAAGCGCCTGCAACTGCCAGGACTGGGCCTGGCAAAAACTGGAAGCCAGGAACCCTATCCAGGTTTCCCAGTGAGCAGCAGGAGCCCAATTCCTGGAACCATTGCTGCTGCTCCCCAGCGTTTACATTAGCAGGAAGTTGGAGTTGGGAGCCGGAGACAGTTGTTAAGCCCAAACGCTCCAGTCTGAATCTTGGGCATCATAACTGCTAGGCTAAATGCTCAGTCCTCATTTAAATGGCAATAGCCCAAGCACACTTTCTCAAGGCGTATTTCTAGTGCACTCTCAGCTTCAGTAAAATCAGTTCCTCTTAGAAGCAGAGTGGAAGAATTCCAAGTTCACAGTGTGCTTTTCATATATCCTAAATATTGCTGGATCAAAGCTAAGAAAGACTATGAGAGAGATGAATAACCTTCCACCGCCCTAAGCTGCCATGAACATTGTAGCCACAGAATTGTTGTAGCCTAATACAGTCATTTTAATGTTTCCTAGAAGAAGACAGATCCCAGAATTGCCAGGAGACAACTGAAGTGTATGTGTTTTTCCAGTTGCTTTGTATTGTGCCCAAGGATGGGTTCCAAAAACATTGTTAACACTTTATACTTCTTCTAGGAATGTAACTGACACAGATATTCTAGCCCTGGAACGACGGCTGCTCCAAACCATGGATATGATCATAAGCAAAAAGAAAAGGTAAGGTCAGCTCATGAAAAATTTGTACTGTTAGAAATTCACAACAAAAAAATTTACCTGTGAATTGCTGCTGGCAGAAAGTGTCTTCTTGTTTAGTTTTACTATTCCAGAGTTCTCTGTTCTGTCCCATTGCTCTAGCATCACATGATCTTGATTACTAGAATTATATAAGTTTTGAAATCAGATCAATTACACTCTTGTTCTTTTTCAAAACCATGTATCTAGTTTGGTTTTTGGTGTTTTGTTTTTTCCTTTCCATATTATTTCCAAATTTCCACATTATTTTCCAAATGTATTTGTGGAGGGGTAGAAAGAGAATGCTCACTTGCCAGCTTACTTTCCAGATGCCTGCAATGGCTATAGCTGGATCGGGGCCAGGAACTCAGTTCAGGTTTCCAGCATCAGTAGCTGCCGTCACTGCTGCCTCCCACGGTCTGCATGGGCGGGAAGCTGGAGTCAGGAGCCGGAGCAGGGAGGTGAAGGCAAGAGCTCTGCTGTGGGGCATGAGCACTGAGGCTGAACACCCATTGCCTTTTAAAAATTATTTTTATTTGAGAGACAGATAAATAGCTATTAAATATGTATAGGACCCTGTACAAGGAGCCAGTGTACAGGACCATATACAAGAAACTTTATTTAGATTTTGAAATTAATCAAACTTGAATATCAGCTTGAGGAGAATTAGCATCATCACTATGTTGTTTTCCAAGCCGTAAGCATGATATGTCTTTCCACTTAGATCTTTGGTTTCTTTCCATGTAGTTTTGTCATTTTCAGCATATGAGTCCTATATATTTTGTTAAGCTTATCCCTAAGTGTTTTGCTTTTTGAATGATTATAGTTTTTCATTTTAATAGCCACGTTTTCATAGCTAACAAATACGAAAGCTTTTGATTTTCACATGTTTACTTCATATTTTGAAATATTGGTAAATAATTTTTTTTTAAGTTGGTCTTCTGTATATATCATTTTTCTCTTGTTTTTTTCAAGATTTTTTCTTTATCTTTGCATTCATTACATGAATTTAGCTGTAGTTTTCTTTGTTGTTTATCCTACTTGGAGTTATTTTAGCTTCCTGGATCTGTACATTAATGTTTTCCATCTAATATGGGAAGTTTTTAATCATTTCTTCAAATAGTTTCTCGACTCTTTTCTAGGACTCCAAGTATGCTGAACTGCTTGATAAAGTTTTATATTGAGATAGTTCTTTGGGAACAATGACATTTTGATTCCTGAGATTATTCTCCCTTTATTTCTTTGTTTTTATTGGAAAGTCAGATATACAGAGAGGAGGAGAGATGGAGAGGATGTTCCCCCATCTGCTGACCCACTCCCCAGGTGGCCGCCACGGCCGGAGCTGTGCCTATCCAAACCCAGGATCCCAGAGCCTCCTTCGGGTCTCACACACAGTTGCAGAGTCCCAAGGCCCTGGGCTGTCCCAAAGTGCCCTCCCAGAACGCAAGCAGAGAGCTGGATGGGAAACGAGGCCACCGGGATCAGTACCGGCACCCACATCAGATCCTGGGCATGCAAGGCGAAGACTAGCCGCTAAGCTACTGCGCCAGGCCCTTGCTCTATTTCTTCAGAAAATGAATGCGTAAAATTGCAGCCATGGCCCACGTTAAATATGGGTAAATGCTTTTAAGCTACTTCACACTAGTTGTGATCAGGAGTTAGCTCTGACGTACAAAGACTGTAGCGTAGTTCTTCTATAAGACCCTGTTTAGGCAGCTCAGAGATGGTTTGTGGTTCTGTGATAGGTCTTACTTATTTGAGTAAACCTCAAAAGTAGACGCCCCCAAACTAATGCCATTAGCACAGTCCTTTACCCAGTGGAACTAACAGAACAGATCGACAGCCAGCGTTATAACACTGGGGCCTTTGGAATTTGTGCAGTGCCCTTGCCACTTGCCAGAACTTAGAATAGCTAGTTCTGTCAGCACTTACAGCTAGGGAGTAGTGACCAGAAACCCATCTTTTGGTTTAGCAGTAGAGGGCCATAGTGAAAAAAACAGCATCCTTTCTTTAACAAAATGTAAATGGGAAAAGGATGAAAGAACACATCTTGTCATTGGGAAGACTGGAGGAAAAATCTTAACTTTATGTTAACTTTATGTTAGTTCTCTTTTTGAAATTGTGAAGGGATAAGGAAAATAGTACATTCAGTGATGAATTGTTAGCGCTGGCCACAGCTGATTTCAAAGTAGAGAAAAGGCAGTGTGAAATATTGAAGCAATTTCTAATACAGAATATCATAAAAACGAGGGAAACTTTTTTTAAGATTTGTTTATTTTTATTGGAAAGTCAGATATACAGAGAGGAGGAGAGACAAAGAAGATCTTCCATCTGCTGATTCACTCCCCCGAAGTGTCTGCAACAGCCAGAGCCATGCCGATCCGAAGCCAGGAGCCCAGAGCTTCTTTTGGATCTCCCACACAGGTGCAGGGTCCCAAGGCATTGAGCCATCCTTTACTGCTTTCCCAGGCCACAGGCAGGGAGCTGGATGGGAAGCATTGCTGCTGGGATTCGAATCGGCACCCATATGGGATCCTGGCGTGCAAGGCGAGGACATTAGGCACTTGGCTACCGCGCCACGCCCTAGGGAAACTTTTTTTTTTTTTTTTTAAATTGAAATCACTGGGAAATGAAAAGAGTCAAATAGCAGCTTGAATGGATCATCAGTTGTTAGGTATTTAAGCCTTCCCTGTTGCTTCTCAGTTACCACCCACCCACTCTACTCTCTGTAGAGTAACTGGAAATTTAAAAAGAAATTTCAAAGATAAGAGAAATACCACAGAGCTGAGATTCAGAATCTAAGTCTAAACTTTACCCAAATTGCTTCCTCATTGCTCTACACGCCATGAACACAAGGAATACCAGAGGACCTGAGGAAGAAGTTGGCAGGGACTGAAAGGAAATTTCCCCTTCGAAGACAGCATTGCTTTCTGGTGTGAACCACAAACGTGCTGCGCCTCTGATTGCATGTGTTTCCTAAACTGCAGATTGTACGCACAGCTTGGATGAGATAGTTAAAGCCTCAGCTTGGCTGGATGTATCCGAAGTTAGAACTCAGGACTAGCAACTCTGTTTGAAATTTAGAATATCCCCAGAAGCAAAAGAAGCACAAAATCCTATAATGGGTATAAACTATCCAAATTCCTTCTTAACTCCTGGCTTACCAAGCTCAGGCTGAGAAGCGCATCAGGGAGGCTAAAAGGACCAGCCGGCAGCCGAACAATTGAAAAGAAACATTAGTTGCTGAAGCTGGGACAGATTTCACAGTTTGAGTCCAAGTTAATTTAGCTGCCTACTACTACAAAAAACTTGACAGTCATGTTATCCACACTATCAAGCCTTCCACCAGAATTTACTACTAGAACTGTATGACTCATATGCAAGATAAAAAGTCATCATTAGGAACTAACTCCAAATGGCTCCACATGGGAAGTCTCAGCAAAGACTTGAAAATAGCTTTTGCAAATAGATTCAGAGAAATGAAGAAAAGGGCCAGACACTGTGGCACAGTGCATTTAAATACTGCCTGGGATGTCCCTGGAAACTGGCACAGCAGCAGGATGCTAGCAAGGCTGCCAGTGACCGTCTCCAGGCCCTGCAGTGCTGCAGCCAAGAACTGAAGCAACAAGTTGATAGTTTGCGTTGTGAGAGCCAATTGAAAGGAGCAATAGAATCCAGTAAAAAAGAGATATTTACCAAAGGTGTATCCAGTCAATACAAGTAATAAAAGAAAACAAAAACACTCTTCAAAAGTTAAGCAAAGCTGATAAATTTGTACCTTGTTGGGAGCTATAAACAGAGAATGCAAAAGCTATTGCTGAGCCAATTCGAAGCCAGTAGTCAAGAGCTTCTTTCCAGGTCTCCCACATGGGTGTAGGGGCCCAAGGACTTAGGTCATCCTCCACTGCTTTCCGAGGTCATACTCAGAGAGCTGGATGGGAAATGGATCGGCCGCAACATGAGCCAGCACCCATAGGGGATGCTAGTGCTACAGGTGGAGAATTGGCCTACTACGGCACTGTGCCGGCACCTGTGTTTATTTGAAAGTGTCAGAGACAGACATAAACAGATCATTCTTTCATCTGCTAGTTCATCCAACAAATGCCCACTCCTAGAGCCAGACTGGAGTCAGTGAAACCAGGAGCCTGGAACTCAATCTAGCTCTCTGACAGAGGCGTCAAGCACCCAAATACTTGAGCCATGATCTGCTGTCCCCCCTACCGCTGCCCAGGATGTCCATTAGCAGGATGCTGAATTAGTGCAGGCATTCTGATGTGGGATGCAGCTATCCCAAGCAGAACCTTAATCACTAAGCCAAACACCCACCTTGATGTTTTTTTTTTTAAACTTCTTGAGAAACCTGTCCTTAAGATCTTTATTGTGGGTTAGAACATGCCAGAAGCTACCACAGGCTAATTGGCTTTCTATACATGGAGAAGACAGCAGAAAGAGATGGTAGATTTCCTGTTGATAGATTGTAATGAAGTGAAGTGAAGCGCTTGAAGTAGAGGGAGACAAAAGTTTCAGAACAGAGCAGGGTAGAGTGATTTTACTTTGCCTTTTGTTTGTTTTATTGCATTCCTACCATGTATCAGATCCATTTTTTTTGTCCTTAAATGATAACTGTAGCCATTATTAATAAGTCCATTGCACTTTGTAATTAACTGTATTAGTTTTTACAAACTATTTCAGTGATCTTCACAACCCTCCAGAGATGAGGAAATGGAAACTCGAGGCCTCAGCTTCTGTGTGGCAGAGCCAGTCCCCAAGTTTATTGTCTGACTCCAACTTCAGTGCTCCTTCCCTGAGTCCACATTGCTCCTGAGAGTGTGCAGGTCCCCCTCAGCCGTAGGTAGCAGGAAGTAGGATTCCAGCATCAGGGTCCTTTCCTGAAGAACTTGGCAAGTGGGATAAGCACTTGTGAAGCTGGAAAGTGGATGGGATTGGACTGTGAGAATCCATGCTTTCTTGCTGAGATGTTATATTTGCTTTCATTTCAGGATGGCAATGGCACGGAGAACTATGTTCCAAAAGGGGGAGGTGCATAACAAACCTTCAGGATTCTGGGGAATGATAAAGAGTGTCACTACTTCAGCACCTGGAAGTGAAAGTATCCTTTAAATTACTGTTGATTCCTTTTCTCAGCTCTGGTCCAATGGCAGAAGAAAAAAGTCGTGTTGGGATAGCACTTCAAAGGTCCCTGACTGCATCGCAGTCCAACCTGGCCCATACAAGACTTAGGAAATAGTGTGTAGAGTCATGTTTCTAGCATCCATTTAAGATCGTAAAATTGTTTTCTTTGAGTTAAAGGACTTCTAAAAATTCAGTCTTTCCATTTTACAGGGGAAAAAATAGGTGCCAGAGAGCTAAAGTCACGCAGTGGGTTTGTGGCAAAGCTAGGAACAGAATTGTGGTCTCCTCTTCCTAGTTCACCATTACGTCTCCCGACTCTTGAGAAACCACCACAAAAATGATGGCTTCCTTAATGGGTGGTTTGTATAAGAGTTGATAAAGTCCCATTTCTCAAATGATTAGCATTCCTAAGCAAGTTTTAAGTAGCTGTGCTTGGCTAGTAACTTTGTGGTTTAAAAAAAAATCAAGATACTCAGTTAGAAATAATAGATTATTCCCGGCCCAACTGAATATGATGTAGAACTTCTCCCAGTCTAAAGAACCACATCCCTGTGACCCTTAGGCTTTTCGGCTGGGAATACAGAGAACTAGGCTTCAGATAACATATTGCTGTGTCCTGCTGTAGCATTTTGCTTTTTGGTTTCAGTTGGAGAAGGATGTAGTCTGTTATTAAAAATTATGACTTAGATCCTTCAGCTGTCAAATACAGATAAATGTAAGACCAAAGGAAAGCAAGATGTTTATGACAGAGAAAGAAAAGTGATTAATTTAGGTTCTTTTCAACAAGAAACATTTATTTCATATCTTCTATTTCCAAGCAGAGTACTAAGGGACAAAATGATGAACTGAGTATAGCATTTCTCTTTAGGGAGCCTAATACCTAATCATTTTAGGTTGTATTGTTTGATTGCCTACACCATGCCAGCAGCAGGCATGCTGAGGAAGGAACTGAATGACATTTGTTGATTTTAGATAATAGAAAAGTCACAGAAGAAGGGAGAATTTGGATTAAAGTCAGTGAGTGTATTGTTTTAGAAATAAGGGTAGGTTTTTTGGTTTGGTTTGGTGTTGCTTTTTTTTTTAAAGGCTGAGTGATAAAGATCTTTCATAACTCTCCAAATGGCCACCATGACCAGAGTTGGGCTGATCCAAAGCCTAGAGCTTCTTCCAGGTCTCCCATCATAGGTGCAGAGGCCTGAGGACTTGAGTCAGCTTCTACTGCTTTCCCAGGAACATTAGAAGGGAGCTAGATATGAAGTGGAGCACCTAGGACACAAACCAGCACCCATTGGAATCCTGGCACCCCAGGCAGCAGCTTTACTCTTTAAACCACAGTGCTACCTCCATCTTTTTTATTGCTTAAAAATCCGTAAAGTCCAAAAGTGCAAGTATAAGCTATTTTAGTGATAGTACATGTATTGGGAGTATCTAACCTCTGAGCCTATGTTTCCAACGTGGAGAGAATAGTTAACACTACCCACTGGGTCTTGGAAAGTAGCACAGCTTAGTGGAAAGAGCAGGGGTTGGCAGATGTAACTTTCCATCTACACCTATTAGATATGTGACTTTAAGCAAGTTATTCAGCTCTCTGAGCTTTACTTTCCTCATCTGCAAAATGGAAATAGCTGCTCCATGGGACTGTTACGGGAATGAAAGATGTCCATAACTCAGTAAATGTCAGTTCCCTTTCCAAACATCGTCCTTACTCAGATAATGTATGAAAACTATGCTCTATTTTGGGTGTTAGGGTTATTATGAAATCACTTGAGATCCTGGAAATCATGTTAGACTTAATTTAATCAGATGCCTAGAAAGTATCGAAAACACAAACTTGGAGAAACTGAGTGAGAGATCAGCAGTGATTCTCTTTGCAGCACAGCTTTCACACCTGTGTTGGGGTGGGAAAAGTGCTGTGCGTAACACAGCTGTTTGTGAAACAAACTGAAGATACAGACTGTTCTCAGGGTGTGCCAAGAGAAACCAACAGCAAATGCTTTCTTCACTGCTATTCTTTGTTTGTTTGTTTGTTTGTTTTTAATTTCTATGTGGTTTAAACCTTAATGCCCATTTTGTACCAGATCTTACTCTTATTCAACAGGAAGTGGATGCTTTGGAAGAATTAAGCAGGCAACTTTTTCTGGAAACAGCTGATCTCTATGCTACCAAGGTACAAAGCAAGAAACTGAACTAAATATGATTTTTGTCAATATAATTGGAGAGAGAACAAGATTAAGTGTCTTCTTAGTGGCCACAGTGGCCATTCAGTGCAGGTTCAGTGTCAGCCCTGAAGCCTGGGGTATGAGGGGTCTGCATCTTCACCAAGTGCCTTTATCACCTGCAGAACTCTCACGGAGTTCTCCCAGTAAGCATCTGGGAAAGTGACATGTACCACTTCTGCTGACCCTTGATCAAGATTCCTTCTTGTTCCCTTTATTCCCTTACAGCTTAATACAAAAGCAGTAGATACCTGTGTGCCATGGGTTAGCCTTACCTTAATGCCTCTAGGTCAAGAAGTGTCCTAACTTCAAGAGGTAACTGTCCTATGTTCGCCCAGAATACAGTAAACTTGAAAAATGCAAATATCTTTTACTGAAGTTTACAAGCTTTTAATAATTTCTGAGGGTAACTTCATAGGGACAGTAAGATAGAGATTCACACAGGCTCTGAGCACAGCTCTGAGACGGCTCACAAGCTGTGTGACAACCATGACCTCCACCCACCCCAGAGAAAGGGAAATAGTGCCAGGTAGATACAAGACAGACACAAAGTAGAGATTTAGAAAGGTGGGAGGTCAGAGGTTTCACCTATACAACAGGGATGGGAAACATGTGGAGCTGTTCCTAGGTTTTTATTAGGATATCAGATTTCTCTACTGACATGGCAGTAATCTAAGGTCACATCCCATTCCCATTGCTAAGACTGCCAGAGGTTCTTGCATTACAGATGCAGTTAAACCATCAGCAATGGCATCACCAGGACTAGGTGGACCGGGAAGATCAGTGTGGGTAATAGACAAAGGACAGACATGCTCCTAGATAACTATTTACACAGTCTAAAACAATGAACAATTCTTCATCAACAAAATGTTTTAGCGGTTTCTAACCAGCATACATCAGAGTATTGGGTTTCTGTGATTTTATCAGGGGAGACCAGGAAACTTAGCACACTTTTTTTTTTAAAGATTTTATTATTTTTATTGAAAGGCAGATATACAGAGAATAGAGACAGAGAGGAAGATCTTCCGTCCGATGAGTCACTCCCCAAGTGAGCGCAACAGCCGATGCTATGCCGATCCGAAGCCAGGAGCCTCTTCCGGGTCTCCCACGCGGGTACAGGGTCCCAAAGCTTTGGGCCGTCCTTGACTGCTTTCCCGGGCCACAGGCAGGGAGCTGGAAGGGAAGCTGGGCTGCCCGGATTAGAACCGGCGCCCATATGGGATCCCGGGCATGCAAGGCGAGGACCTTAACCACTGCGCCACCGCGCCGGGCCCAACTTAGCACACTTTTTAAATTTATTTTATTATTTCATGACACAGCTTCATAGGCTCTGGGATTTCCTTCCCCAACTCCCATCCCGCCACTAGTTTCCCCCACGTCATTACAATAGTATCATCATAAGTCCATCATTCTGCTATTTAAGTGTGTCCTAACATTGTAGGCATGGACAATGGCAGAGTCCAGCATCCTGTTGTCAAGATATAGTGAACAGTTTCATTGGGAGTCCATCTTTGATTTGGAATTAGAGATGCACACTGCACTGTATCTTCACATCTGTGTGTGATGTGCTTTAATACACACACGCCATAACACAGAAAGCACCGAAAAAGAAAAAAAAAAAAGCCAAGTAAATGAATTAACCATACTAACTGTACATTTGAAGTAGCTAGAAAAACGGCAGCCAAGCAATCCCAAGATTAGCAGGAAAAAAGAAACTGAACACTTTTACAATAATAAACAGTTCAGCCCTTTGAACAGAGGAATAAGGTTTGGATTTGGTGACATGTGGTCTTGGACATAATCCTGCCATCCCAGACTTGGAAGCATCTGTAAAAACTCTGTGAGAGATTGCTTTGTAGACTGATGTTTAATAACCTCAACAAGAATATTTGGAACTACTTTGGCAAATTAGAGAAGTTTATTAGATGTTCATGCTAAAGAGAATAGGCTTTAAAAACCTGCACAAACAATCTGTCATAAAAGATCAGAGACGTAAAGCATGTAAATCTGATTCTGTGTGAGAAAAACGTAGATAATTTCTGGCTCAATTCTACATAATTGCAAACATCTCTTTCTTGTAAGGGTAATGAGAAATGAGAAAATTATTTGTTCTGTGTAAGTAGTAGGAGTTTTGCATATGAAATCCACTCAATAATTTTTACTTGATTTGGGTCCTGACATATTAGCCTGTTAGCAGTCCATTGTGTAGTATTAATTTGTGTAAGAAGTAACAAATATTCATCAGCTTGGAAGGCTTGGACCAATCACTGTGTTCTTTCTACCTTTTGTAAATCTGCAAGAGCCTGAGGAGTGTGTTGTGGAGAGGAGATTAAGTTAGGGTCATTCCTCAGTATCTCAGGCAGGTGTCATAAATCTTTTGTAGTTAACGTTAACAATGGCCAAACCAACTAATATCACCCAAGGCTTTCTGCCAGTCATTTAAGGTTTTTAAACTGTCTTACCTGATTTGGATTGTTTGTGACCTAATTATATACTCATCTATTAATGTTCATAAATATTGGAAAGATGGGCAGTGTTGAATTTTTTTCGTGGCAGTTTTTAACCCCCATAGCTCAAATGAGCTAAGGAGGAATTATAAACCTGTTGTAACCTCTCCCCCACTGAAGAACACATCATTAAAATGTCATTCGTATAATGGATAAGATAAGCTATAGGAAAATGATATCTCACAGGAGCAAGCTGTGGTAACACTTTTCCATTGATAGCCTTGTGTAAGTGCAATGTTGTTAATAGAAGGGACAGAAAATGCAAAGCACTGTTTATCCTGAGAAGCTAAAGGGATAGCTGCAAGGATAGATAAGAACAGTCTTTAAGACCAAACTAAAGGAATTTGATGAGAAAAGCGCCCCTGGGTAGCATGGTTGCGTTGACTGCCTAGAAATCATTCAGGAGATGCCATTTTCTAATGGTCTTGTTTGGAAGAGGAAATATGGGGATATTGCAAAGACTATTAGGTGGCTTTATGTGTTCTGCATCAAGCTGTTATTTTATTAATTGTTCAATATGGGAAATGTTCTTGGAAAGAGACCATTGATCCAGCTAAATGGGATCATCAGATTTCCAAGTAATAGGACCTGTAAATGAGTGAGGAGATTGGTCACTGGCCGCTCCTAAAAAGGCTGATGTCCCAAACCTTTTCCTTCCACATTGGTCTCTGACTGAATAGGTTGTTTTTTACCTTGATTACATTTTCATAACCACTGTCATTTTTTTTTTAATATCCTATTTTGTGGCACATTGCCATACCTTTCCACTTGCTATTTGAATTTGTAAGTTGAATAAAACAGATAAAATGTCTCTGCCCCATAAATTTAATGTTATGCCTGGAACCACATAAGGTTTACGATATCCTGGTACTCTGTCTAGGTCCTGCCATTTGAAGACAGCGGCACTCTTACAAGTATTTCCTAGAATCCCTATCCCACTAATCTCCCATTTGCCTCAATAAGTGACCACTGACAGGCAAGGGCAGTTATGTCATGCAATCACTCTGATGTCTGTTCCTGTGTCAAGGAGACCTTCAAAATTTTGTTCCTGAGTTTTAAAGCACATAATAGATCTTTCATAGTTATTTGTTGTGTTTAATAGACATCAGAGCTACCAAAACCATTATCACCCTGATGTTTTCTTTTTGTTTTTCTCAATGGTCATATTGGACAAATAATAATTTGTGTTATTTTGTCTCCTGGAAAAATAAGATTTATATGATATGCTTCAGACAAGATTTTATTTCTCCTGTATATTCTGCATCTGTATCCTTTTAAAACAGAGTCCTCATCAAGTGCTAATGACTGTGCCCTGCAGGAAGCCCTACAGTGCCTGGGAGCAATGGACTATAAACTTCAATAGGAGTTGCCTACCTTTTCATTCCTGGTGTCAAAGTCACATTGACCACATTGCTTAAATCAAGGTCGACACTTCCTGCAATGTCTTGGGATGTTGACAGAATAAGCCTGGGACCTCTCGCTGGAGGAGGTATCTGAGCCCACAGTTGACTGGGCTGGGAGAAGCCTTCCTCCTGTTTCCCTGTACCTGAACACCTTGTGAAGGCTGAGCATTTTGTGAAACTTTGACCTGTACTGACTAGCCCAGTGATTGCCTATGTTACAACACATATAGAGGCCAGAAGCATTGGAACCTTGAATGAAGGCATTAACAACTGTAAAAGTAGGTCTCTGAAAGCCACAGATATTTTTACTAACACTCTGCACTCTGCCTGAATATGGCTAACTACCACAATTAACACAAATTTTCTGGGCCTTCTGCATGGCTGCAGCAAAGGCTTGAGCCTGATGTGGACTGCTCCCAACATCTCAGCAAGCTCTGATCCTTCAGATGTGCCTCCCTCTCTTGAATGGACACATAACCATTTTGCAGTCTGCTTTAGCATTTTCACATGCAAGCTGTCTCACTAGTATCTCCCCAGCTGGAGAGCTGTTTACTTGGCAGTGAATTTGTCTCATCAACCTGTTCATGCAATCTGCAGAATGTTCATTAGGTCCTTGAAGGCATTTAGCAAAATTTCCTGGTAAATCTCCTTTGCCAAGCAAGGGCATCCATGTGCCATGAGTACACTCTAATCTGATCATAAGCATTGGCAGGATAAATGCTTTGCCAATCAATAGTAGTATATTGTCCTGGCCTGTAAGCATGTCATACATCATATTAATCCTATTATTCCACTTGGTCCTGTCCTGCTTCTGAGCTTGCTCATAGTATTCATTTTTCTGTAGTAAGTAGTCTTCCTCCATCTAAACAAGCAAAAGCAAGCCACATCCAATCAGCTGGAGCTAAGCCAGGCCCGAGAAGGTGCCTCCAATTAAAGACACAGTAAAAGGAGTATTAGCCCTGTCTTGAGCTACAATTTCTCAAAGAGATTTTTTTTTCCAAAATTTAAAGAGATTGTATTAACATGACATGAAGAGAAAGTACAGAGATCTATATTATTAATGAACATAGATGCAAAGATTCTCAACAGAATGCCAGCAAACTGAAACCAAAACACATCAAAAAGATCATTCATTTTGAGTAAGTACAACATATCCCAGAAGTCCGAGGGTGGTTCAGCATTCACAGACTGATAAACACCGTAACTTACATAAATACAATAAAAAAGAAAAATCAAGTCATCTCATAGTTGCAGAGAAAGCATTTGACAAGACTCAACACCCTTTCATGATTAAAAAAAAAAAAACCTCCATAAAAGTCATTGAAGGAATGTACTTAAAATTATAAAGGGCATAGGAGACCTCAAATCATGAGCCAATATCAGAGATTTTTAAATCTTCCAGTCAAATCCAGCCTGGTCTCTAATGACTGATTGGGATTATTAGGATCTAGACTCTGGATTACAGGAAATGCCAGATCCAGGTCTCCCACTGCCTGTCACCTCAGGATTCAATGCAGTGGGTTTAAACTGCACATCAGGAACTGAAGGAGAATAAACACGTTAGGAACCAGTGTTGGGAGAGAAACAGCTGTTCTTCCTCACACTGGACAGTCTCCCTCTAGCTGCAAAGGCTCCAGGACCTGCTTGATATGAACCCACAGAGAGAATGTACTTTGAGCAATTTCTCTCCCTGTTGATGAACCTACTTTTTCCCTCAGCTAAATCTCAGGTCTCGTGCTGCAGAAACCAACTTCTGAGATATTAGCTCTTCTTGAAGTAACCGTTTAAGTATTCTCCAATATTGTCTACGTTCTGTACTATAAATCTGCCCCATTGCTCTGGCTAACAATTAGTCATCCATAGGACTCACTCGCTACTGCAGGAATATTTGATGCTTGGACAGTAGTCTTGTGTTTTCTCTTTTTGTTTATTTATTCCACTCAAAGTGAGTCTTCCATTTCTGGTCTCTTTTCAGGTACCACTTACCACTAACCCAGCACAGGAACTAGGGTGAACAGGGAGATAATGTGCAACTAAATACAAGAAACAGACACAGATGCAAAGTACAGGTTTATAAGAACAAGGGGCCAGAGCTCTCCTCCTTGTTGAGCTCTTCCCACCAGTGTTTCTTAGTCAAGGCATCATTAACTGATGTCACGATAGTCTAAGATCACATCCCCACTCTACTGCTTAAGGAGCCCCTGAGACCCCAGGAGCTCAGCCTGCACCAGAAGAACAGGATTCCTCCCTGAACACACAAGCTCCCTGAGCTCAGAGTCTTAGAACGCCACCTGCAGCTGAGGGCTTGACTGCTGCCTTGCAGGCGGAACGCCCTAGCAGAGTTTGTTCCCAGAACTCTCAGCTCAGAACTGTCTCCCTCCTTCTCAGACTGCTGATATCTACCTTGAATGGTCCATGGCACGTGACCTTAACTTATTTAGCCCAAAACTCAGTTTATCATATGTGAAAATAATAGGACATATGAGAGCTTGTTATGAAGATTAGATAATGCACATAAAATGCTTATCCCAGTCTCTGTGTCAAAGTAAACCTTCAGTAAATGCCACCACTGGTACTGATAGTTTCATATTATTACTAGCATGGGTAGTTTTGTTGTCTTAGCCTGAGCCAGTGATGCATACAGGGGGGAATGCTGTTGCTGAAAATAAATTTATACTTTACACTGACTGACCGTGTTTTGTGTTTGTTTTCCCCCTAGGAGAGAATTGAGTATTCTAAAACCTTCAAAGGGAAATATTTTAATTTCTTGGGTTACTTTTTCTCCATTTACTGCGTTTGGAAAATCTTCATGGTAAGTAAATTATTTTGAACTCTCAGGGTGTAGACAATTTTTCCTGGAATGGGTAAAGAGTTAAAGGTGGATTTGATTGATGCCTTGGACTAAATTCCAGATTGAGCCATGCCAGCAGGGAACATGATCTCTCCTGTCTCAGAACCTCACTGTTTCCCCCCTCTCCTTTTCACATGACCTAGAAAAGGGAAGTTGCATTTTTCTTCTGTCAAAAATCATTAAGAAATCTTTAGATTATGAAATGTAAGAATTCAATCTGAAGTCTTTTTATTTCATTCTTCTTTCCATTTATCCAGGAGTACCTGATTCAACTCCTTCCAGCCAGAACAGAAATCACTCGTCCTTTTTAATAATTGGTATATGTAAAATCTTAAGTGCAAAATAAATTGTACGGTGTATTTCTGTAGGGAGATTCATCTTCCATCCGTGCAGCCCGGGCTGTGTCTGGCTGACCCTTAGTGTTCTGTTCTGTGTGTGCATTTCATGTACCCCACTGATCTTCTCACTCGTCTGAGTAGATTCAGTGTGATTATAGAAAAGGCTGATTTGACTTTCTGGTTTGATGACTTTCCTACTGAGGCCATGTTTACACAAAGAGGAGATTTGACAGCTTGTTTATATTGACCAGTGTAGATGATTGAAAGATTTTGGTTTTAATGGATCTAATGTTATAATACATTGATGTGGGTACCACTGAGATGACATTTTTAAATCTTGATCCACTCAGTGGGAGAGAATGAATGAAAATAGTATGTTTAGGCACTATGTTGACTCAGTTTTTTCCCTGAGATGCAACCTCTTTTTTTTTTTATTGGAAAGCCAGATATACAGAGACGAGGAGAGACAGAGAGGAAGGTCTTCTGTCCAATGATTCACTCCCCAAGTGAGTGCAACAACCGATGCTATGCCGATCCGAAGCAAGGATCCAGGAACTTCTTCTGGGTCTCCCACACAGGTGCAGGGTCCCAAAGCTTTGGGCCGTCCTCGACTGCTTTCCCAGGCCACAAGCAGGGAGCTGGATGGGAAGTGGAACTGCCAGGATTAGAACCGGCGCCCATATGGGATCCCGGCACGTTCAAGGCGAGGACTTTAGGCACTAGGCCATGCCGCCGGGCCCGAGATGCAACCTTTAAGGGAACTTATGACTTATTAATAACATTATTGGAAATATACTTGCCATGTCGGGTGTACAATTTAATAAGTTTTTTACAAATCGTAAATATTTCTGCAGCAACTAACACCTTATCAAGATAGAGAAAATACCTCAAAACTTTTTCATACCCCTTACTACTGATTGCTATCATCTTTTTTTAAGATTGATTTTTATTGCAAAGCCTGATTTATAGAGAAAAGGAAAGACAGAAAAAGATCTTTCATTCACTATTTCTCTCCCCAAGTGGCCACAAAGCCTGGAGCTGAGCTGATCCAGAGCCAAGAGTTGTTCTGGGTCTACCATGTGGGTGCAGGAGCACAAGGACTTGAGCCATCTTCCACTGCCTTCCCAGGCCAGAAGCAGAGAGCTGGATGGGAAGTGGAAGAGCCAGGACGCTAAACAACTCCCATATGGGATGCTGGTGCTTGCTGATGAAGGATTAACCTGTTGAGTCATTGTGCCAGCCTCTCTCCTTTTCTATCTGGTTTATATTACTCAGCATGATTTTTTAAAAATTGTATATATCAGTAATTTATTCCTTTTTTTATTGCTGAGTAGCATACTGTAATGTGGATGTATGTCAGTGTTTACTCAGCTGCTGGTAGATGTTTGGCTGTTTTCTGTTTGAAGATGTTATAAATAAATCCGCTGTGAGTGTTTGTATACAAATCTGTGAATCCCAGGACTGGGATACCAGCGCTACAGACAGAGGATTAGCCTGAATGTCCCTGTGCCAGCTCCAAGTCCTTCACCATTAAGTGTAATATTGACTGTTTTGTTTTTTCTCAGTTTTCTTTATCAGATTGAGGAAGTTCCTTCTATGCACAATGTGTTTAGTCTTGTTCATCATGAAAGGATGTCGGATTTTGTCATTCATTAATTTTTTAAAAGATGTATTTATTTGAAAGCAGAGTTTACAGAGAGAGCAATCTTCCATCTGTTGGTTCACTCCCCAAATGTCCACAGCAGTGGCTTAACCTGGGCCGATCTGAAGCCAGGAACCAGGAACTTGTGCCAAGTCTCCCGTGTGGCAGCATACTGCTGCTCTCCCACATACATTCGCCAGAAGCTGGAACATAAGTGAAACAACTGGAACTCAACCTGTGTCTCTCATGTGCTGCTGTCCCAGACACACCAGCTGAAACTTAACTTGGCACTCTGATACGGATGCCAGCTTTTCAGGCACTGACTTAAGTGTGCCACACTTGTCCACTGCACCACAACATCCACCCTGTAAATAGTTCTATTGAAACAGCCAAGCCCATTTGTTTATGCATTGTCTTTGATTACTTTCACACAACACTGGCAGAGTTTACTGATCCATGATTCATCCTATTTAAATGTAATGTGATTTTTGATATGGTTAGCTTTAAAACTGTCAAATAGTTTTATTTGTCCTGTCCTTTTTTCTTTGTTTAAACTGTCACCTTTAGGATTAGTTGTAGTTTTTATGGTTCCATTTGACCTTTGTTGGCTTCCTAGCCTTTAACTTTTTTTTTTCTTCTCACAAGGAGCAATCCTGGACTTCTTTGACTTCAACCTGCTAGAATGTTATTTTCCTGGCTCCTGAGCACTTAAAGTGTATATTCCATAGCTTTATTCCCCTTACTCTTCATAGAGCATAAAGATAGTATAGGCTTCTGTTGTTTGCTTATATATAATCAGCTGAAATAAACTTTATGATTCTTTTGTAAAGATTTGTTTGAAAGAGTTGCAAAGAGAACAGGAGAGACAGAGAAGTCTTCTGTCCACTGGTTCACTCTCCAAAAGGCCGCAGCCACAGCATTAGGCCAGGCCAAAGGCAGGAGCCCAGAGCCAGGAGCTTCATGTAGGTCTCCCATGTGGGTAGCAGGACCTCAAACTCTGGAACCATCCACCCCCTTTCCCTAGGCTGTTAGCAGGATATCAGAAGCAGAGCAGCCCATACAGGATGCCAGCATTGCAAGGCGGCAGCTTTACAGAATATGCGACTACACCACATTTGAATTGAGGATAGAATCGCATTTTTAGAAACATTGCCTTCTCACCTGTGTTGTAATTAATTCATTATTTTCAGCCACTTTTTGAAGTAGCCGTTATTTTGATACACAGATGTAAAGTCTCTGTCTTTGTAGGCAACCATCAACATCGTTTTTGATCGAGTGGGGAAAACTGATCCTGTCACAAGAGGCATTGAGATCACTGTGAATTACTTGGGAATCCAGTTTGATGTAAGTTATATCAAGGTCCTGCTTTATTATATTTTTTTCATTTTTATCTACTTATAATCACATATAACATACAGTTCTAATTATATAATTAGCTTTTAACTTTTAGCTTTTAATAGATTTAGTGTAGTTCATAAATGTAAGTCTAAGAGTATAATATTTTCTTCTTTTCCCTCCCAGTCTCTCCTTCCTACTTTCCCTCCTTCATTTCTTTAATTTTTGAGATAGCATATTTTTAGCATAATTTACATCATTAATGCTTAGTGCTCCCTTGAACAAAGTGTTGAACAAGTAAAAAGCTGAAAGACCCTAGTTTAGCATAAATATTGGCATAAAAGCATAAATACAGTTTAACATAAACATAGGCAAGGACTATAAACAAAAATCATATAGAAAGATGATGATTTCACCCACATATGCCAAATTTCAAAATAATTGTAAATCATCAAAAATATAGTAATGTGACATCCGTAACCATTGGTTTGACAAAACTATTTGCAGCAAACTGTTACACACAGACATTTTTGGCTTTGTTTTTGGCTTCTTTATCCCATTTTTAGGTTTAGCTCCCACATTTGAGGGAATGTATGTTTCTATTCATCTGTTTCACTCAATTTGGTGTCCTCCACTTGGATTTTACCAGAAATGATAGAATTTCATTTTTTATAGCTGTATAATATTCCATAATGCATATATGCCACATTTTTTTATCTACTCATTTGATGACAGACACCTTGGTTGGTTCCATATTTTGGCTGCTGTGAACAGTGCCGCAGTAAACATGATGATGCAGGTATCTCTTTGATAATGTGTTCGTGTCTTTTGAGTGTATACCCAGAAATGAGATGGTAGGGGTGGTTCAACATATGCAAATCACTAAGCACCATAAATCACATCAACAGAATAAAGAACAAAAACCATTTGGTCATGTCAATAGATGCAGAGAAAGCATTTGATAAGACTCAATACCCATTCGTGATAAGAACTCTGCACAAATATCAAAAGGAACCTGCCTCACAGTTACAGAGGCTGTGCTTGACAGACTGGCAGCCAGTATCATACTGAATGGGGAACGCTGAAAGCATTTCCCCTCAGATCCAAAACAAGACAAAGATGTCCACTTTAACCACTGTTGATCTTTAGAGTACTGCAAATTTTAGCAGAAGTAATTAGGGAGGAAGAAAAAATAAAGGACATCAAAATTGAAAAAAAAAAGACAAAAAGTCAAATGATGCATATTTACACATAACATGATGTTGTTCATGGAAAAGCCTGAGCACTCCACCATAACTTAATTGTTGAAGCTTTGACTTCTCATACTTTAGGTTCTTGCTTCTGCTTTTGTTCTGTCTACTTTCATCTATACAGTCATATTCACATGGCAAATTTGTCAAAGTCTAGTTTCTCTGTTAACGTAAAACCATATGTAAAGACTGGCACTTACCTGATACTTATTATTAGTGTAATTTGTTATTTCTTCAGTTTTTCCTGTGCTTCTCTGTGGCCAGTTACCACTTTACCAGTTTGTTCCCATTAGGTATTCAGATAACCTCTCTCTGTCATATTTAATGAGATTTTCATGTGCACAACTCACCTTTGATTTCCCCTGGTAGAAATGTAACTACTAATTAGAGCTGAAATACTGGCCCTGAAATGATCTCTAGTGTAATAAATTCTCTTTATCAATTCATTAATGTGGACTTCTGGCTAAAGATGGTGACTGTCACCTGTGTACAAGTTGGGCTTGTTTTTTAATCTGTTTCATAATACATTGTCATAAACACACCCATGTCCCGATGTAAGTTATTTCATTATTTATAGAAGAGTTTGTTTTCCAGCCATGTGCCTGATTAGTGATTCAGCTGATTAGCACTTTGGTAGTTAAGACCAGTGACTCCCATTCTCTGTTCCATTTCCCCCCGCCCCCGGCCTTTTTTATGATAATCAATAGTGTCTCCCTTTTTTGCATGGAAAGGAGCATGGTGTATTTTCTTTAATAAGCATATTATTACATTGTTAACCATGCTTTGCTCTAGTTGTATTGAGGTTTCCTTAAATTTTTTACTGGGCTGATATTTACAAATGTTCTTTGTCAGTACTTCCTGAGGCTACTCACTGGTGGTGTGTGTATTCCGTCTATAATTTTGTAATTCATCTACACATTCTGTTCTCATTGTTCTGAGTAACAAGACTTTGAGATGTTAGTAGCATCAGCTCACCCTCAGACACTTTTCAAAAGTGGGTCAAGCACATGGCCCCACAGTTACTTCTCACAGCAAACAATGCAGGGAAAAAGGTGTCCTCCTCTGTTTCAGATGACATTCAACTATTTCCAAGACCCTAATTGGGAGTATCTGTCTGTTGTGAAAAGAAGTTTTAAATATCAATGAATAATATTCATAGATAATTAAAAACAATAAAGGTATGGTTTAGCTAGTTTCCTTTGGATTCTTTATACTTATCACAGTAAAGCTATTTCATTATGCCACTATTGTTTTTATTAATTAGTATTATTTTCATTACTTCACTATACTTGCTTTCTTTTGCCCATAAGATTTAATTCAATCTGCTAATTAGATTCAGGTCTTCCTATAGGTGTTTTATTTACCATTTATTTACTCTGCTCCCTCCCTAAAAAATAAAAACTACATAGGAACCTAGTTTTTCATGAAGTTCCATTTCACATTCACAAATGTAATCAGAATACATCTTAGCTTTCATGTGTCACTCAGCAGAGATTTAACAGATTATTTTCCTGTTTTGGAGGCAGGTGAAGTTCTGGTCCCAACACATTTCCTTCATTCTGGTTGGAATAATCATTGTCACATCCATTAGAGGATTGCTGATCACGCTTACCAAGGTATGTTTGTTACAATGCTGAAATGTACTTCTGTGGGCTAGTCTAGTAGCAGGTAAAGCTGCCCCTTGTGATGCAAACATTCCAGTTGGGTGCCAGTTTAAGTCCCGGCTGCTCCACTTCCAACCCAGCTAGCTCCCTGCTAAAGCACTAGAAGAATGGCCAAGTACTTGGGCCTCTGAACCTATATGGGAGATTTAGAAGAAGCTCCAGGCTCCTGACTTCAGCTTGGTCCAGCCATTTGGGGAGTGAACCAACACATAGAAGATCGATTGATCTCTCTCCATTTCAAATAAATAAATAAATCTTTTTAAAGGACTTCTCAATTATTTAGTTGTATGTAGCACTATGATATTATTATTATAACTAATGAAGATTTCTGCCTCATGAAATCTTTAAGTCCAAAGTATTTAAAAGACACACTGAATTTTTTCTTAAAAATTTATTTATCTGAAAGGCAGAAGGAAAGGAGGTGAGAGAAGTAAATTTTCTATCCACTGATACATTCCACAGATGGCTTCAGTGGTAGAGTTTGGGCCAGGTTAAAATCAGGAGCCTGGAACTCTAGCATTTGTAGCATGGGCCTAACCACTTGGGCCTCCTTCTGCTGCCTTCTCAGACACATTAGCAAGGAGCTGTATTGGAATCAGAGCAGCCAAGACTTGTACCAGTGCTCTTAAATAATTATGATACCATGCATTGTGGGTAACAATCTCTGCACCATGACACCAACCCTCAGATTTTTCAAAAATTAAACTACTGCATAAAATGGTGATGGAATACGTGCTTATTATAGTTAAATACACTTACCAAAAGTTACTGCCTAAGTATATGTTTTGTTCAGGTATGTCACCAGCATAGAATAGAACTTGGCACATGATAGGTATTTGGCAGATAATTGAAATAAATGAATGAAAAATATATTTAAGGTTAGAAAAATAATTGTGGGGCCAGCACATTGACTCAACTGGCTAATCCACTTCCAAGCACCAACATCTGCTATGAGTGAAGGTTCATATCCTAGCTGCTCCACTTCCTATCCTGGGAGAGCATGGCCCAAAGCCTTGAGGTCCTGCACCCATGTGGGAGACCTGGAAGAAATCCTCACTCCTGGCTTTGGATCAGCTCAGCTCTTGCCATGGCAGCCACTTTGAGAATGAACCAGCAGATGGAAGATCTTTCCTTCTCTTTATAAATCAGCCTTTCCAGTAAAAAATAAATACATCTTTAAAAATAAATATAGGGCCCGGCGCGGTGGCGCAAGTGGTTAAAGGTCCTCGCCTTGCACGCCCGGGATCCCATATGGGCGCCGGTTCTAATCCCGGCAGCTCCACTTCCCTTCCAGCTCCCTGCCTGTGGCCCGGGAAAGCAGTCGAGGACGGCCCAAAGCTTTGGGACCCTGCACCCGCGTGGGAGACCCGGAAGAGGCTCCTGGCTTCAGATCGGCAGAGTATCGGCCCGTTGCGCTCACTTGGGGAGTGAATCATCGGACGGAAAATCTTCCTCTCTGTCTCTCCTCTCTGTATATCCGCCTTTCCAATGAAAAAATAATAAAAATAAATCTTAAAAAAAAAATAAAAATAAATATATAATTGTGAGAGCCCAGTTGCAGAGAAGATAAGTAGAAAGGATATTCAGGTGTTTTCTGATTAATGTAGGCTGGCTTCATTGAGGCAGAAAATGAGTCCTCTGACAGAAAAGTAAAAAAAAAAAATTTTTTTTAATTATTTTATCGGAAAGGCAGATGTACAGAAAGGAAGAGAAATAGAGAGGAAGATCTTCCATCCGATGATTCACTCCCCAAGTAGCTGCAATGGCCTGTGCTGTGCCAATCTGAAGCCAGGAGTCGGGAACTTCTTTCCGGGTCTCTCACACAGGTGCAGGGTCCCAAGGCTTTGGGCCATCCTCGACTGCTTTCCCAGGCCACATGCAGGGAGCTGGATGGGAAGTGGAGCTGCTGGAATTGGAAGCAGTGCCCATTTGGGATCCCAGCACGTTAAAGGCGAGGACCTTAACCATTATGCTATCGTGCCGGGCCCAGAGTAAAAATTTCAAGGTGACCAAAAGAGCAGAGTTTGGGATGAGAAGGGCTCTCCAGCCACCCAGCATAATTTCAGAAAGAGCTCAGAAGTGTAATAACACCTAGATGTTTAGAGTGGCTTCAAACTATGTTTTAATGTTTTATAGTGAAATTAAAGTCATAGTCAGTTTATGAAATTTGATAGTGAAAGGAGTCCTGTGTTACAGTGCAATACTTAAAACCACCAAGTTCCTCTTGGGGAAACTAACTTTCACAGACATCTGTTTTACATCTCTCTGTAGCTTTAGTCATCTGAATTCTATACAGGATGTGGCATGCAAGAGACACTTAGGTAAAAGTTAACCATGTTGCTTACTCTCATGATACAGGAATCTAGTAGTACTGCATGAATTCATCTCTCTTCCCTTCCTTGACAGTTCTTTTATGCCATCTCCAGCAGTAAATCATCCAATGTCATTGTCCTGTTATTAGCGCAGATAATGGTAAGTTTGATGAACTAGCTTTTTTGTGTATAATTATAAAATGCCACAGATGTATTGTAAATAATTCAAGCCCCCGCTACATTCACAGTTAACTTCTGTGTGAACCTACAGGGCATGTACTTCGTCTCTTCCGTGCTGCTGATCCGGATGAGTATGCCTCTGGAGTACCGCACTATAATCACGGAAGTCCTGGGAGAACTGCAGTTCAACTTCTACCATCGATGGTTTGATGTCATCTTCCTGGTCAGCGCTCTTTCCAGCATACTGTTCCTCTATTTGGCTCACAAACAGGCACCAGAGAAACATATGACATTTTGAACTCCTACTGCCACAGACTGGCAGTGACCAGTGGTATCACAATTTGGATGGAAGAGGGAAAGTGGAGAGGGCTCAAGCTGAATGTTTTCTAAATGAAATGCTGCAGCAGCATATTGTCCCTTCAGCATTGGCCTTCCACCCCAGGTCACACGCAGCATCAGCGAGGACTTGAGCAGAAGCAACTCAAAGCAGCGGTCCTCAGAAAACATTTCCTGTGGATTTGAAACTCATGCCAGTTGGGAGTGAGGGTTGTGGGAAATGAGCCAAGAAACTAGAGGGAAAAAGGCGTTGGAACTCAACTGGCCAGGGTTCACATGGAGACCGTGGCTTTCCCTTGGGATTGACTCATTAAAAGCCAAAGGTGGTGACACTTTAGTCCTGCATTCATTTCCTCAAGTGTGGGTATCTGTTATCTAATGTGCGTTAGCTTCTCCCCACTGCCCTCCCCTGCCCTGTTAAAATAGCCAAGAACTTTTCCGTTATTTTCTGGGAGCGGGATGGAGTACAGCTGAAATAGATGCTACCAATAGAGAGTTATATTACTCTTCCTGAGTTCCTTTTCACTTAGTATTGCTTAATTCAGTAATGATTTTTTTTTTCTTACCCTTTGCCCCTCATGTGAAACAGTAAGTAGCTGCAGTAAGTCACTTTTCTACCCTGGAACTAAGTTTCTTCATCTATAAAAGGAAGATAATGGGAATTTTTCAGAATGTTCGGAAAAATGGTTTAAGAAAATCCTGATTATATGGAAGTCTCTTACTATAAAGGTCTTATTCTGTATGTTGTGCTTTTTAAAGATTAAAACACAAATCTATCCCAACAAAAGCTCTATAAAGGTTATACCAGTGAACAGAGAAAGTTTCAAGCAAACTCAGAAGGCGTCTTTAATGGTATTTATTGTAGTAAACACAACATTGTTACAAAAGCATAATTTAACAGACTTATCTACTTAGATACTTTAAATCACATACACAGATTTGCAAATCATCTTTGGTGCTCAGGGAACTCGTCAGGGTAGGAGATACCACACAAAGGAGGGAGGTCAAGTTGAAGCTTGGAAGAGATCACATGAGAAGAATCCGGCTCGTGCCATAGTTCTTCCTAAGTCACCCATAAAGAAGTCATCTGCAATAGTGGCCCTCAGACGGATGACAGCAGAAGACATGACGAATGGTTTCCAGAAGAGTTCTTCTCTAACAGACGGTCAACAAATGGCAGCTCATTCCTTCAAAAATTTGTATTACATATCCAGAAACAGCTTTCAGCCAAAGCCATAATTCATTCTCATTACAGCTCAGTATCTTCAGAACTGGCAGAAGAATTTGAGGCTGTACTATCTGCCTGTACAAAAGAAAAGAAAGGATTGACAAGAGCCCAAGTGTGACTGTCAAGAGAGGCATGATCGGAGTTACATGACCTCAGGTAGGGAATAACCACTCGCTAGAAACCAGAAGACCTGAATTCTACACTTGGCTTCGATTCCAATGTGCTCTTGACACATTAGCAAGTGTCTTAATGTGTCCACAGTACATAAGCCAGCTTAGTGCTATAATTGACATACAGGAATTTATAATTTTTTTAAAGATAGAGTGTTAAGCATTCCAGCATACAAAGCCAGTAACTATTATTGTATGTTCATTAAAATGAATATTTGTTTTTTATATTGCCAATCATTAGAATTGATAGAATGGAAACCAATATTGAATGAAACTTTCAGGATCCTGGCATTGTATTAAATTTCCTTTATGAATTTGGATAAGTCTGTTCCTCTGTGATAAACTACACAAAGGTACCAAAGAGAAGGGCCAGCATTATAACACAGCAGGTTAGGTCTGTGATACTGACATCCCCTGTTGGAGTGTTTGTTCAAGTCCCAGCTTCTCCACTACCAGTCCAACTCCCTGGCAACATGCCTGGGAAAGCAGCAGAAGTTGGCAAGAGCATTTGGGCCCAACCACCCGCTTAGGAGATCCAGATGGAATTCCACGATCCTAACTTCAGTCTGGAGAAGGCCCGGACTGGGGAGTGAACCCACGATTGGAAGATTTCCTTGTCTTTCTCTGCCACTCTCCCTTTCAAATGAACAAAAATCTTTAAAATAGCAAACAAATTCACCAAAGAATGTATTCCAGATGTATAGAAGAATACTTCAAGAAGTTCATGAAAAATAGAAGACTAATTTTAGTGCAAAAACTTGAAATTCATGCTTAATATTTTCTACACACTATAAAATTTGTGCCAAAATAAATTCAGAAAATTCCATCCTCTATGAACTTTTTGAAGTACCTTCAGACAAAAGGCTGTAATACATGCCAATTATTAATAATACTGTTCCTGACTACTACCACCCAGTTTTCATGTTCATGGTGAGCCAAGCCCAGTGTTCAAAGCACTTTGACAATGTGATCCTGATAAAAAAAAAACTGCCTTATGCCTGTGGGGAAGCAGAGCAAATAAAGGCTGACAACATGAAAAACCCAGAATTTGTAGCTAAATGATCTGACTTGGGCTCTTCTACTGATGCACATGATAATTTGACAACTTTTATCAGCCCTAAGCAATTGCTGTCACTTACATGCTATGAAAATAAGAAGTTCATTGTCTTTACACTGTCTCCTTTCCTGCAATAACTATTTGTTAGTCATCTTTACATAGTCATTTTGTGTTATTTTAGAAGTCAATGGCAATCCAACTTATTAGGGGCTTTGGTAAATTAAGTCACTGAAAAATGCTGATATATCCACTTACTCGTTCTTTTGCCACGTGCGAATCGTTCTCCGATTCCACAGGTGTTTCTGTGGAACCTGGGGGGCTAGCCAGTGGAAGAGCCATGGAGGACACAATGGGGATTTTCTTAGCTTGGAAATACTCATAGGCTTTCTTCCCGCAGACTAAGAGTGTGACGTTTTCCCCACTGCTCTGGATTCTTTCCACCACCTTCTCATAGGGTTCATCGAGCACATTTGCACCATTCACTTCAATGATGACATCCTCATCCTCCAGGCCGGCCAGGCCAGCAGGGCTGCCCTTCTGTACCTGTGAACAGATGCACTGAGTTATCAACTCCAAAGGGCAGGTGAGAGACTAACTTCCCTTCAGATGGAAGTGTTTAGAAAGTTTATTCATAACTGTGTAGTTATTTCCCCTTGTGTGACAGAAGGTGCAGAGGGTCTTCTAAAGCTTTTCTACTGTGTGTGAGTGGTTAGTGTTACAGTGATTGAATATCATAGTGTGTGTTTTCTAGGTTGGCAGCACTAGGTTCCCTAGGTCCACTTTCTACACTCAACTCTACAGCTGCAGGGAGAATCTCATTTTGGTGCCTCCAAGATACGTGCACTAAATGCAAAGAAGCAGCAGTGAGGGTTGATGGCAAATGTCACCAGGAATCAAGTCAACTCGTTATTTGATTTAAATGTGTCTAAAGAGGAGCAACAGATTTGGGAAGTAAAAGATCTTATAATGCACTCATAAAGGGTGTAAGATAGTATTGTCTGAATCCAAGTGAAATATGGGCCTTCAGTGTAAACTTTTTCCTAAGCCCTCAGTGGTTAGAGGCCGAGACTGCCCTAACTGGCGGTGTTCTTTATGCTGCCGGAGCCAGGTACCATACCTCTTTGACGAATGAGCCCGGCCGACCTCGAATTGCATTTAAGTGAAAGCCATAGCCGTTTGCACCTTTCTCCAGCCTGCAGAGTTTAGGCTTGTGATCCTCTGCTTCCTCTGTAGGATCTGCACTTGGGACCTCCAGAGGAACAGGAGTGGGACCCTCAGCCTCCTTGACAGAACCATTAGGCAGTTCTTGACTTTGGTAGTAGAAAAATGGGGAAAAACGAGCCTTTGGAAAACAAAAGAAAAAGCACTTAATTGTGAGAAGATTATTAGACATGGTTTAATTTATTGTCATAATGAAAGAAGCCTGAGTTTGGTCCTGGAGCAATATGCAAAAAAAAAAAATGCACATAAAAGTGAAGCAGAACAGAATATGCTGTCCACTGATAATAAAAAGAAAGGTCTACCAGTTTCTTTGGACTCCCTGATAGCAAACAAGACACTGAGCAGCCCTACTTGGAATCCCCCACTGGGAGAAGACAAATCTGAGAAACCTGTTGGCTCACACAAAGGTTCTTCTGACCATTCCCCTTCCTGAAGATGATCCTAACTCCTCACATCATTTTTCATCACTGTCTGAAGACTCAAGGCTATAGACTAACCTATAGAAGGCCAGTTATACAAGTTCATAGAAAAATTGAATTAAGATTTTGGAAAATTTTTAAATTTTGGAAAAAAAAGTGAAATCCATGCATAGATCTCATACATTTTCTATGAACTTTTTGAAAACCTTTTTGCCATAGTAATTGGGGAAGGACAGCAGTTACCAACCATATGGATACACATTTTGCTAAATGTTATTTCCAACACTTTGCTTCTAACCATCCCTTCACCACCTCCACCCCCAGGATCTGCTGAACTCTCTTTTGCCATGTGTTATAACCAATAACTATTCTTGCCAAACTCACCATTTTCAAGTGCTTATCTAGGCTAACTCGGAACTTCCATCTGAAGAAAGAAGTATAAAAGCAGAACAGGACATGTAATTTTTTTAAAACTGAACTCAGTTTGCCCAGCATTGTGGTACAGAAAACTAAGTTGAGGCCTACAACCCCAACATTCTGACCTGGAGAACTGGTTCAAGTCCTAGTTACTCCACTTGTAATCCAGCCTCCTGATTATGGTGCCCGGGAAAGGAGCACGTGCTGCCCGCACGGATGGAGTTCCAGGCTTCAACCTGGGCATTGCGGGCATCTGGGGAGGGGTCCGACAGGTGGAAGCACAGACACTCTTTCCCTTTCAAATAATTTTTTTAAAGGAAATCATAAAACAACAAACTGACATTTTAATAGAGTAAAAAGTTTAGCTGGCTGTGAGCAGATTGAGGACTAGGAGGGTAGATGTGGTTTTGGTGCGATCCCAGGTCAGTTGAATGTCTATACTTGATAGGCAATCAAGGGCATGAAGGTGAGAATGTGTGCTCTTGAAATCACAACTGTAGCAACCTAAAATGAGCTCTGGTGGTCATCTTAGGAACCACAACACCACATCTCCTTCCTTCCTGGGTGAGAACAGCACAAGTACCTTACCTAGGTCAGCTTACTTTAGACCTTTCAGTGATAAACTGCTCCTTTAAAATGGGGAAGAAAAGAAAAAGAACCTGTTCCTTATTGGAGTCTTCCTCTTTAAAAAGGTGAAAAATTGTTGATGACTCACTACACGCCGGAATAGCAGCACTGCTCAAGCAAAGTCACTATATATAATAGCAGCAGCTAATTGTGAAGCAAATTACAGGGACATCAAAGTTTGAACGCTTCGG